CCCATCAAAGAAGATTTTCGGCAAACGTGTGGATGGGAATCATTCATACGTATGTAATTGGACCAGTTTTTTTGCCTGACAACCTGAATGGCGAATCCTATGAAAACTTTTTGAGATCTCTCTGGGAGAATCTCGAAGACCTGCCTCTGAATATCAGGATGCAGATGATCTACCATCACGATGGCTGTCCCGCGCATTTCCGTCTGGGTGTTAGACAGTGGCTGGACGAGAAATATCCTTGTCGCTGGATTGGCCGAGGTGGACTGACACCGTGGCCAGCGAGGAGCCCAGATTTTACACCTTGTGACTATTATTTATGGGGGCCCATGAAGTCACTGAGTCACTGGTGTACGCTGAGCCCATAGACACTCTTGCACAGTTGAAAGAAAGAATTATTGCTGCTGCTGACACTATCAGAGGACAGGGGCTGTACTATCACCTCCTAAACACCTATTTACCTGTCACCCTGTATATATATATTGTGCAATTGTTTTTTTTCTAGAGGTTAAGTAGAAATAGCTTGTAGCTAGACTCCCCCATCGTCAGGGACATTTTTTTTATCTGAATAACATTTTATTTTTGAATACAGTTACTATTACTACCACTATTATGAGTCAAGAGTAATTCCTAGAACTGGTGGCATACTATTTAATGTAAGACATGCATGGTGCAATAAATTAGTCATTGCCTGAAGATATTGAAAACAAAATAGGCATTGGCAAGGTCAAGAAAGGATTGAATATCTTAGCATGATTTATGAGGCAGTAGCAGAATCAAACACTAACTCTTTTCAAAGTAGGGTTCCAAATTTATTTTTGTGTTCTGTTGTGAACTCATAACCCAAAATACCTCTCAAATCCCTTTTTGGATGACAGAATAAAGTATATGGCTGGATATCTTTAGATGTAATGTGTAAATCAATGGTATGGAATCAGAAAATACTTTTTATTAAAAGTATACATCTTTATTCAATAGCATTTTCCTGAGATGCCTTGTCTGCAAAAAAGACATATGAAAAGTTTTGTATTGTATCATAACTATCATATATATATGAAACTTTTTTTCTAAATGTTCATACAAAAAGGATGGATGATAGGGGTCAATGTATAGCAAGTTACCCTTTACATTGCACTTTGCTACTCGATACTCTACTTATGGGCCTCCTGAGGGTACTCCTGTGATAAAACATTCATGGCATGAGGGTTGTTTCAAAAATAAGGTTCCCACATTTTTTCAGGCACAATGAACTTTTTATTTGAAAAAACGAATTCACCGTTGGAAACGTTGTTCTTTAAGCTATTTTTCTCCAAAGTCGCCAATTTCTTCTACGCATTTACGTGAAATCCACTTTTGCCTCAAGGAAATCCGCCGCTAGCCCATTCAGAAACTTGGTAACTGCTCCCAACACGAACCGTTGACCGCCTACGTGTTCCTTCAATTTCGGAAATGCAATGTCAGGGATGGGTAATGACTTCGCAGTCAAATCGCTCGATTAAGTACTTCGTTTGTAAGTCTTACACTTTGGTTTTCCTCTACGTCGATTTTGGATTGCCCGTCTCAGCTTTTTCAGAAGCCTCAGAAATTTCAGCCGCCTATTCCCAGATCGTGATTCGCCGATCTTTGAGCAAGAGTCAGAACCACCATTTGCTTATACACATTTCCTCAATTTTGAGACAATCTTCGTATATTTCATTATTTGTTTGTGCACAAATAGTAAGTTGTGAAATTAATAGTAATAAAAAAACAGTTGAAATTTGGAGCTGACAGGTAGCCCAACGTTGAGAGGCGCCGATGACTATCCTTATTGCAAAAAATCTGCTTTTATCGATTTTAAACTACTTTTTCCGATGCGCGAAAACATTCAGCATTTTCGGCAACTGCGGTAAACACTATAACTGTATGGAAACCCACACACTTTATAGTTAGCGTTAGAGCGAAGTGGCAACTGTCAAGGTGGTGGCTTAAATCTGATAATGTTGTATTGCTTTGCATTCGGACTACTGGTTACGTACTTTTGATTGAAGGCAAATCATATGCTTGTGTTCTACCTAGTGTCAGCCAAATATGCTGCATATTCTGGAATATCTCATTCCCAGCTCTAGTTTGCTATACAGGGTGTCCCAGAAGTCGACGTCAAGCCGAAACCGGGTGATAGGCAAAGTCATAACAGCTATCAGAAAAATATTTAAAAAAATTTTATGTATGTGTTTTGAAAATTATAGGTCTTTGAAAAAAATATAGAAATTTCACACCCTACGGCAGTCTGTCAACTCCTGTTAGTACAAATATTAACTTTTTTTGGATTTTATTTTTACAATGTAATGATGAATAATGCATCTTCAAACTGGTGTCTCAACCTTACTGCCAGCTTTTCTCGTTCAGGAAAAATTGCCACTTATTTCCCAACCAAGTATTCCAAAGTAAAACTTTGCTCAACTTTAACTGGCTGTACTGGAAAAAAATGTACTACGAGAGTTTGGCAAGTAACCTTGAAAGTTGGCGCATTTAATAAGGATTCCAAAATTGTATAACACTTAGAAGATTACTCGTTAACTTATGCACAATTTTTATTTGAAGAAAAACTGATGAAAATTTTTCAAAATTTCCTAATTAAACAGCGATTATGAAAACGCTAAAGGACCCTTAAGGATAACTGTTTGCACAACAGTGGGCGTCAAAATGCTGCTGATGATGATTTACCTTTACAGCAAATGCTCAAACTGTTTTCCTTCAGCCGCAATACACGCTCGACATCTTAAAAAAGATCGGGTTATTAAACGAGCGAATCCACGGTTATTAACAAACTCAGCTGCTTCCAATAGTCTTTGCCGTAGCTCAGCTACATTTTGAATCGGCTTGAAATACACTTTTTCTTTTACAGTTCCCCAGTAAAAAAAATCTAACGGATTCAAATCTGGTGACCGGGCTGGCCACGGTATTGTACCAGACCGCCCTATCCATCTGCCTGGAAAGTTTTGATCGAGATACTCTCTCACTGAGAGTGCATAGTGCGCTGGGCAGCCATCATGCTGAAACCACATGTCCCTGTAAATACTCAGTGGCACGTCCTCCAATAAATTTTCTAAATGATTTTGCAAAAAACCTAAATAAACCTCAGCAGTCTCTGGGAACTCAAACGGACCATTTAAAATTCCTGTCCAATGGTTTATCTTGAAGCGATATTGAGATTTATCTTCTCTCATCAAATGTGGGTTTGCTACGTGCCACTCGTGTAAGTTATGCAGGTTCATGTATCCATCTTTCTTAAATGTGGTCTCATCTGACCATAACATTTTTTCAAAGAACCGTGGATCTTCCATGTGTCTTTCTAAGATTGTACGACAAAAAGCAACTCGGGGCTCATAATCCCGGGGCAGAAGAGCTGTACGTGGTATGGATGGAGCACGTTTTTTTGCAAGATTCTATGGGCTGTACTTTTGGGCACACCTGTTTTTAGTTCTATTGCACGCACTGAAGTACTCGGGTCTTCTTCGACAGCTTCTAGCACCACGTCTTCGTAAGGAAGGAAAGATCTTCCCTCACCGTGTGATTGGTTTGGTAGTTGGCCCTCTGAGAACAGTAAGCGGTGCACATTTGTGAACACTCGATGATCTGGATGACGAGCTGCATTCATACATACCACATACAGCGTGTTCAACCTCTCCTGCCCCGGGACTATGAGCTCCGAGTTGCTTTTTGTCGCACAATGTTAGAAAGACACAGGAAAGATCCACAGTTCTTTGAAAAAATTTTATGGTCGGATGAGACTACATTTAAGAAAGATGGGTACATGAACCTGCATAACTTACACGAGTAGCACGTAGCAAACCCACACTTGATGAGAGAAGATAAATCTCAATATCGCTTCAAGATAAACCATTGGACAGGAATTTTAAATGGTAAAATAATCGGTCCGTTTGAGTTCCCAGAGACTTTGACTGCTGAAGTTTATTTGTATTTTTTGAAAAATCATGTACAAAATTTATTGGTAGACGTGCCACTGAGTATTTACAGGGACATGTGGTTTCAGCATGATGGCTGCCCTGCGCACTATGCACTCTCAGTGAGAGAGTATCTCGATCAAAACTTTCCAGGCAGATGGATAAGGCGGTCTGGTACAATACCGTGGCCAGCCCGATCACCTGATTTGAATCCTTTAGATTTTTTTACTGGGGAACTGTAAAAGAAAAAGTGTATTTCAAGCCGATTCAAAATGTAGCTGAGCTACGGCAAAGACTATTGGAAGCAGCTGAGTTTGTTAATAACCGTGGATTCGCTCGTTTAATAACCCGATCTTTTTTAAGAAGATGTCGAGCGTGTATTGCGGCTGAAGGAAAACAGTTTGAGCATTTGCTGTAAAGGTAAATCATCATCAGCAGCATTTTGATACCCACTGTTGTGCAAACAGTTATCCTTAAGGGTCCTTGTGCGTTTTCATAATCGCTGTTTAATTAGGAAATTTTGAAAAATTTTCATCAGTTTTTTTCAAATAAAAATTGTGCATAAGTTAACGAGTAATCTTCTAAGTGTTATACCATTTTGGAATCCTTATTAAATGCGCCAACTTTTAAGGTTACTTGCCAAACTCTCATAGTACATTTTTTTCCAGTACAGCCAGTTAAAGTTGAGCAAAGTTTTACTTTGGAATACTTGGTTGGGAAATAAGTGGCAATTTTTCCTGAACAAGAAAAGTTGGCAGTAAGGTTGAGACACCAGTTTGAAGATGCATTATTCATCATTACATTGTAAAAATAAAATCCAAAAAAAAGTTAATATTTGTAGTAACAGGAGTTGACAGACTGCCGTAGGGTGTGAAATTTCTATATCTTTTTCAAAGACCTATAATTTTCAAAACACATACATAAAATTTTTTTAAATATTTTTCTGATAGCTGTTATGACTTTGCCTATCACCCGGTTTCGGCTTGACGTCGACTTCTGGGACACCCTGTATATTAGCCTATTTGGTGAAGTGGCATCACATAGAACGTTTTGCTTCAGTTGAGATGCAGCAAGCATAGTTTGCCCTATCCAGGGCAAACGCATCACCAATAGGCGACCTAGGTGAACAGTCTGCAGCGGGTCGCGCTGCAGACATGGCTCCGGTGCCAAGGCCAGGCAGTCTGCGTGACCCAGAGATAGCGGACCTCTTCTACAAGCATGATCCGGAGAAGATTTTTGAAGATCTACGGGAGATCGGTCATGGAAGCTTTGGGGCCGTGTACTATGCGAGATGTCTCCTTACCAAGGAGATTGTCGCCATCAAGAAGATGAGCTATCTGGGCAAGCAGAGCTTGGAGAAGTGGCAGGATATATTGAAGGAGATCAGGTGGGTACATTTTGGAATTACAAAGTGAATGTTTACGCGGGTTTCAAGAAAATAGTGAAGAAGAACCATCAAGAAATGATGAAAAGTTCGTAGACCAGTTTGTGAAGGTTCACAAGATTTGAAAATGTGTCAAATCTAATGCTATATACAGAGTGTTCTCAAAGTTAGGATTTTCCTTTACACAACATATACAGTAATGGACAAAAGTATAAATTAAAAAAAACTGGAACTATGAAGGATAAAAATATATAGACAAAGCAAAACAATTATAGGAAAAAGCAGCAAAGTTCATTGAATTATAGAAAACCAACCATGTTTGTGTTCATATTTTGTAGCATAACCATTATTATCAATCACCGCCTGGTATCGTCTCGGCATAGATTGTAGAAGTTTCTTGATATAAGATTCATCAATCTGTCTCCACTTTTGCTCTAAAGCGGCAAAAAGGTCATCCTCGTTTGCTTATTTGCTTATCTAAGTATTCCCATAGATTTTCAATGGAGTTTATATCGGCAGACTGTGAAGGCCATTTCAGAACTGGTATTTTTTCATCTAGAAAGAATTTCTTTGCGAGATTTGAAGTGTGCTTTGGGTCATTATCTTGCTGGAAGATTGATCTTAAGGGCATAGGGTCTTCCATATAAGGTAACATGACATGCTTTTGTATGTCTGTGTATACAAACTTATCCATAATGGCATCTATTCTATGTAAAGGTCCCATCCCAAACCCCGAAAAGCATCCCCAAACCATAACAGACCCGCCTCCATGTTTGACAGTGGGCAAAGTGTACTTGGGGTTCAATCTTTGTCCATTAGGACGTCTAACGTAATGAACACCATCTGATCCAAACATAATGAACTTGGATTCGTCACTGAAACATACCCTCTTCCAGTCACAGATGCTCCAGTGCACATTGTAATCGGTCTTTACTGTTTTTCCCCAAGGAATTTAGTTTTTCTACTAATAACGCATTTGTTTATGGAGCAATGAAGTATGAATTCGTTTTTTAAAGGTATTTAGATAAATATTTATATTTGTCTATATACTTTTGTCCATTACTGTAGTTCGTGTATAGTAACACTTATTCCAAAGACGAACAAGAAAGGATAATCAAGATATAAGGTTATCAAAAAATCTACTTAATCTTATCCTGCCTTCTCAGCGAGTTATCAGCTGCTAAGAGATGATCCGCGTCAATATTCAACACACGGGCGTCATATGAGAAGGTAAACAGAGGTGTTTCTTTACAAATTTGATTAAAAAAAATACGAAAATGGTACGAATAACGAGTTTGTCGATATCATGTTCGTTTATAGCTAGTGTCTTCAAGATACTGTTGCAACTTTTCGAATGCACCGGGTCATTTTCCTGGGTAAAAAAAGTTGGGTCACAGGCCGTCTGGAATAATGTTGAGGTGGGCACAGTGGAGGACCTAGACCTCGTTCCTGAATAGGAAAACCCCAACTTTCAGAACAGCCTGTGTACTCAATGTTGCGAAATGATTTCCCGATTGTGTTTCCTCAGCGTAAATCCCCTGATCAAAAGCTCGACCATCACTATTGTTTTTCAGATTTTTGAAACAGTTGAAACATCCTAACACAATCGAATACAAGGGATGCTACCTGCGCGACAATACAGCATGGCTCGTAATGGAATACTGCTTGGGATCTGCTTCAGATATCATAGAAGTTCATAAGCGTCCCCTTAAAGAAGACGAAATTGCTGCCATATGTGACGGAGTTTTACATGGACTGAGTTATCTACATGAGTATGGAAGAATACATAGGTAAGTCAACAATAAAAATTTTGGAAGCCTCGTCTTTTCATTTGGACACCCTGCATTGAAAATTCTGTGCAGTATTAGTCATTATCTCATCACTGTCATAATTTTTGTTTCCTCTTCAGAGATGTAAAAGCTGGAAATATTTTATTAACCGAAAATGGTACTGTGAAGTTGGCTGATTTTGGTAGTGCTTCAATAAAATGTCCAGCCAACTCTTTTGTTGGAACACCTTACTGGATGGCTCCAGAGGTATGGATATCTTGAGTTTAAATGTGCATTATTTTTATATGTTAAGTAAATGAGAATTTTTTGAATACTGACCTGTTGAACCTTATTTATTTTCAGGTTATCTTAGCTATGGACGAAGGACAGTATGATGGGAAGGTAGATGTATGGTCGTTAGGTATAACTTGTATAGAATTAGCTGAACGTAAGCCACCGTATTTCAATATGAATGCTATGTCTGCATTATATCACATTGCTCAAAATGAGTCGCCTACATTATCGTCTCACGACTGGTCGGATGTATTCAAGCACTTTGTGGAAACCTGCTTACAGGTAAGATCTATATTCAAATACATTTCATCATATACTAAGTGACATATAAATCCGAACACCCAGTTTAAATGGTTTTATTTTAATAAAAGTTGGTGAATGTATTTATCTTACTGTAAATAACAAGTGAAAAAATGTTCAGCCTTATCAGTTGGACATTCCGGTTTTTATACTGCTTTTTTTTTAATTCACTAACGCTCTAAAAATGAATATTTCAGCCGCAGTAAAGAATCAACGTTCTCGGATTTTGGTTCTTGACATCCTTTACGATCGGTTACGATGCCTAGAGTACGGAGACCTGTACGATTTCGTCAAGTTAGTGAGTTTGATAGGGGCCGTATAGTGGGACTTCGGGAAGCTGGACTTTCTTTTCGCGCAATTGCAGTTAGAGTGCAAAGAAGTGTAGACACTGTGGTTAGGTGTTGTCAGGCATGGCTTCGAGAAGGCCGTACGCAAAGAGCAAGGGGCACTGGACGCCGCCGTAGAACAACAGACCGTAAAGATCGCCGTCTAAGATTATTGGCCTTAAGGGACCGTTTCTCCACTACCAGGTCCATTGCAAATGAATGGTTTGCAGAACACGGAAGACCTATTGGCATGCGAAGTGTTTACCGACGAATGAGAAGTTTTGGCTTGTTTTCATACCGGCCACACTGGGTCCTCCCTGTAACTCGAGAACACCGACGTAATCGCCTTGAGTGGTGCAGACAACGGTCACTCTGTGATCAGGAATGGAACAGTATTGCCTTTAGTGACGAGTCTCGATTTTGTTTAGGCATGCACGATGGTCGTGCCAGGCTTAGAAGGCGACGTGGTGAAAGGAGGAATCCACAGTTTTTTGTTGAAAGACATGTTGGAGTTATGGTTTGGGGTGCTATAGCTTATGGTTCCAGGTCACCTTTAATCTTCATCAGAGGTAACATGAACGCGCAGCGTTATATCCACGAAGTTCTAGAACGCCATCTTTTACCCTATCTTGACACCCTGGCAGATCCAACTTTCCAACAAGATAATGCCCGACCACATGTTGCAAGAGTCACAATAGACTTCTTTCAACATAATGATGTCACATTGTTACCATGGCCACGAAGATCTCCCGACTTATCCCCAATTGAGCACGTGTGGGATATGATGGGTAGGAGATTGCTCAATTTGCAACGTCCTCCTCAGACTCTAGAAGCACTTCGAGAGGAGTTGGTGGTTGCCTGGAATGAGATACCACAGGAGGACATTGACCACCTGATCAGAAGCATTCCTAGGCGCGTTGGAGAATGCGTAGCACATCAGGGTGCATCCACACATTATTAAAGGTCAAAGGGCTTTAAAGCAGTGCAATCATTTTGAAATTTTTATCATTTACTTATTATGCTTCATTAAGTACTTATACAAAATTTTATTAAAATAAAACCATTTAAACTGGGTGTTCGGATTTATATGTCACTTAGTATATAATCTTAGTTTAGAGCTGCAGCACAATTATGCCGTTGGTGGCTACTGTACTCGAATGTGTGTGGTTGACGAGCCACAAGAATATACAGGGTGCGGTAGTAACTTTATTAAAACGCGCACCAACGAGTCGGTTGATGTGGTAGTGGAGTGCTAGTGCTCTCGCTCTATAAAGTTTTGTCCGACACAGTTCGTCGCCATCGCGCGTCGGAACAGTGCTTTGTCGTTGAGGTATACTTTCCGAGCGGATATTCTGTGATCGCAATCCAGCGCGCCTTTCGGAATCCTTTTAATTTAGCTCCGTTGGTCCCCGTTCCAGACCGGAAATCAATTGTTATTATGTTCAAACTGCAAGTGCGACAAGACGAAGAACTGGAGGCCCTCTGCCCATTAGATCACCTGAAAACATTAAGGCCAGTGAGAGGTTCAATGCAGTGATGCTGGCGACTAATTTTTTCACTTTTTCGATCCACCCCACTTTTACTCACTTTTCATTGAAAACATTCACTTTTCTCACTATTTTTGCTCTCGCTGAACAGTCTATCAACGGTTTCGAAGGAGCTGCCGTCGTTCTCTCAAGCCCCTAGAAATTAAATGAAGCGATTTTTTTTCCATAAAAATGACAAAGTTGTCCATGCACAGGCTACTTCCCAAGCTGAGCCAATATGTATTACACATGAGAAATTACTAGGATTAGTTGAAATCTACGTTGGAATTTAATTCAGCTTTGCTAAAAGCACTATACAGGGTGTTCCTTAATGATATGCGAATATTTAAGAGTGTGAATCTACATGTACAATTAATGTTAGTTTGCTTTATAAACTGTGGTCCAAAGATATTTCCTTACAAAATCTCAGGGTGTTGAAGTTTTAGGAAAAAAAATGGAAATTAATTGATATTTTCAGAACCGCTTCCGATATTTCACTGATATTTAGTATGTAGTGAAAGTTAATAAAGTTGCATATTTTTGAATGCAAAAATAAGTGTTAGCTTCAACAGTAGCGTGCGTACGGATATTGACTTCGATATTTTTTAAGAATAAAATGGTACGCCAATGGTTTTTTGCCAAATAAAAAATATTTTTGAATTCCCCGTTCAATTTAAAACAAATGATCTCTCTTGAATTGTTTTCCTTCGATGCGCCATTTTTGAGTAACAAAACAAAAACCGTTCTATTGTCCTGGAAAATTAAGTTGCTCTGGAATATGTCACTGGCTTTTGACATCTGACAAGTCTCTGTTATTCAAGTCTGTTCGCTGTGACATCTTTTTCATTATTTAGTTTTTACAATCTTGTTAATAATGGTGAATTATTCAAATGCAGAAATGGCGGAAATGCATTACGTATATGGTCTTGCCGACGGTAATGGTGAGCAAGCCAGACGGATTTATCACCAGAGATATCCCGATCGTGCTTTGCCAGATAGTCGAACCTTTTCTAATATTCATCGTCGTCTTGTTTAAACTGGTTCTGTCCGAAAAGGAACATCTGAAGGTAGACCTCTAAGTGTGAGAACACCTGAAATTGAGGAAGCAGTGCTGCACGAAGTCGAAGAACATCCTGAAACGAGTACGAGGAAGATCGCTAGACACTTAAATTGTTTGGATTTTTTGTTATACCCTTACCATATTTTCCGAAGCGTGGGACCTTTTGTCAGTGGGATCTTCAAAAAATTACACAAAATCCGCACTAGGGATTTCAAATTCGGAATTCAGAGTATTTTAAGAGAAACAGAAAATACAAATTTGGCTGGCTTAATTTGAGCTGGGATTTCAATATAAATTGCATTATCAGTGGCACTTTTACAAGCCTTGTACAAGTAACTGGTAGTGTGCATGTCCTGAAACTGAACCAATTAACCTTAACCAATCGAGCTGATTTTTTTTATGTCTGGTTGGTTCGTGTGACAATACATAATGAAATAACCGCCGCCATTTTGAATCTAATATGGCGTATGCTACATAATGGCGATTTATCATTTCCATAGTATATGCAATGGGTATCAAATGGAAGAGCTTGATGTTTCTTTTAGGCATCGTATGCATTTGAACTTGTATATGCATGTTCCGTTTCCATTCTGGGGTTTGGTTTTTAAATCATGCTCGCGATCATCCTGTGAGAGTCTGGGAATCAACTTCAAGGATTGCTCCTCATTGATGTTATTAATTATATGAGTTATTCTTGTTTTTCCACACATTCTTATATACTAAGTGACATATAAATCCGAACACCCAGTTTAAATGGTTTTATTTTAATAAAATTTTGTATAAGTACTTAATGAAGCATAATAAGTAAATGATAATAATTTCAAAATGATTGCACTGCTTTAAAGCCCTTTGACCTTTAATAATGTGTGGATGCACCCTGATGTGCTACGCATTCTCCAACGCGCCTAGGCATCCTTCTGATCAGGTGGTCAATGTCCTCCTGTGGTATCTCATTCCAGGCAACCACCAACTCCTCTCGAAGTGCTTCTAGAGTCTGAGGAGGACGTTGCAAATTGGGCAATCTCCTACCCATCATATCCCACACATGCTCAATTGGGGATAAGTCGGGAGATCTTGGTGGCCATGGTAACAATGTGACATCATTATGTTGAAAGAAGTCTATTGTGACTCTTGCAACATGTGGTCGGGCATTATCTTGTTGGAAAGTTGGATCTGCCAGGGTGTCATGATAGGGTAAAAGATGGGGTTCTAGAGCTTCGTGGATATAACGCTGCGCGTTCATGTTACCTCTGATGAAGATTAAAGGTGACCTGGAACCATAAGCTATAGCAACCCAAACCATAACTCCAACAGTGTGATGAACATGTCTTTCAACAAAAAACTGTGGATTCCTCCTTTCACCACGTCGCCTTCTAACCCTGGCACGACCATCGTGCATGCCTAAACAAAATCGAGACTCGTCACTAAAGACAATACTGTTCCATTCCTGATCCCTGGGTGACCGTTGTCTGCACCACTCGAGGCGATTACGTCGGTGTTCTCGAGTTAAAGGGAGGACCCAGTGTGGCCGGTATGAAAACAAGCCAAAACTTCTCATTCGTCGGTAAACACTTCGCATGCCAATAGGTCTTCCGTGTTCTGCAAACCATTCATTTGCAATAGACCTGGCAGTGGAGAAACGGTCCCTTAAGGCCAATAATCTTAGGCGGCGATCTTCACGGTCTGTTGTTCTACGGCGGCGTCCAGTGCCCCTTGCTCTTTGAGTACGGCCTTCTCGAAGCCATGCCTGACAACACCTAACCTCAGTGTCTACACTTCTTTGCACTCTTAACTGCAATTGCCCGAAAAGAAAGTCCAGCTTCCCGAAGTCCCACTATACGGCCCCTATCAAACTCACTAAGTTGACGAAATCGTACAGGTCTCCGTACTCTAGGCATCGTAACCGATCGTAAAGGATGTCAAGAACCAAAATCCGCCAACGTTGATTCTTTACTGCGGCTGAAATATTCATTTTTAGAGCGTTAGTGAATTAAAAAAAGCAGTATAAAAACCAACTGATAAGGCTGAACATTTTTTCACTTGTTATTTACAGTAAGATAAATACATTCACCAACTTTTATTAAAATAAAACCATTTAAACTGGGTGTTCGGATTTATATGTCACTTAGTATATTATCCGTTTAAATTTAGCATTATGATATTCAATTTCTCAGAAAACTAACTCACTTTTTTATGTATAAATTCGCTATTTCTCACTACTTTTTTTGAAAATCTCACTTTTCCCACTTAAATTTATGCTTTGGGCCGCCAGCACCGCTGTTCAATGTTTCGATCGTTCTGTGAGGAGAATTCTTCATGATGATCTTCATTTGCATTCTTACAAAATGGTACTCGTGCATTAATTTCCTGAACCTGACCTGAATTCTCGGATGAACGCGTGTGCGCGTCTTCCCGAAGTCGTTCCTGAAAACGCTGTTTTTAGTGATGAATCTCAGTTTCATTTGTGGATCAGGCGACCAACAATACATGCGCTACTGGGCCGACACCAATCCTCGAAAATTGCAGACTTTGCACCTAAGGCCATAGTGTGATGTGAAGTTTCCTCAGCTGGAATTATTGGTGCTTGGTTCTTTGAGGAAAATGGAGTCACAGTGACAATTACTTTGGACCTTTATGTAAACATGTCACAGGATTTTTTTCCACGGCTAGATATGTGTTTATGTGAACCGTTCAAGGACCCTACAAGTTTTGAAGACCAACATCCAGGAAGAAATTGCCTGCTGTGCTGACAAGAATCATGACAAACGCCTGAAATCCGGTACTAATCCGATCTGATCTTCGAAGCTATATAAAATGCATTATAAAAAACATAAAAATGTTCTGATTCATACAATGGGCTTTATTAAGTTTTGAAAAAGGGACGTTATGCTGCCGCACCCTGCACTTCTTTTCATAGTTTTTGGTTGGTCACAGTAAAACTGCCAGTATCACTTTCATATTCCGATCTCCTAACTTATTTCATATTGCATTGCTGACGTAAAATCCAAAAACGACCGAACCTCTACGCACAACACAGACATAACTTAAACATTAAGTTCGGAATAATTAGATACAATTGAAACTAGCCGTATTTTTGCCTATATTAAACTTCCTAATTATGGCCTGTCATTGAATAGCATCCTGTATACGTTGTATATTTACGAGGTTTGTCTAGAAAATACGTATAAAGGTGTAATGATCAATTTAATTTACAATAGTTCAGGTATTTCAATATGGTGTCCTTCAAAGTACTCCCCATGAGACAAGATGCACACGCCGTTTCCACTGACGCACAACGAGAGACGTGGCTTGCATAGAGAGAGGGAACCACCATCCCTCCACGACGCCCCGAATCTTTTATACGTATTTTCCGGACAAGCCTCGTATATGTTTCTTCAGTATCTTTAAAATAAAATCAGATTGTTTTTGTTGTTTTGATTAGTTTCTGGTAAGTTCTGTAAGGAATATGTTGAGCTTCCTGCATTTAATTCTTCAGCTGCTGTATAATGCTTAGCTTGTCGGTCAAAACTTTATTCGTTATAAATCCGAAATTCCCCAAAAAGGAACCGTCTAATGGGGAGACCTAACGATATGAACACATTATTCGCAAAAGCACCGATCGTTTTCCAAGCTGTGCGACACGTCGGAATAAAAATTGTTATATAATTTCACCCAAGACATCCCAACACTTTTTTTCAGAAATCTCCAGTTCAACGTCCCACGTCTTCTAAACTGCTTACGCATCAGTTTGTGACAAGAACGCGATCACCGAACGTTCTCATAGATCTAATACAGCGGACAAAGGCTGCAGTTAGAGATCTTGATAATTTGAACTATAGGAAAATGAAAAAGATTCTTATGATAGAAAATTGTGAAACTGAAAGTAATATAGGTAAGAATAATACTCATGTTATCGAGTCTCAATTCTCACGTTTTACCATGAGGTAGAAGAATGACCTTCTAAGGCGACAATGTTACTCGACAGTGCTACTTTTCTTTTCTACCCCATTTAAAAGCACATTGTCAAGAAATTGGTTGCATGTCAGTATTTGGAAAAGATGCCTGGTGAATATGATTTTGAATATTGCTGAGTATTTAATTTTTCCTTTCAGACATGGACGATATTCCTGATGAGCATACAGGTGGGGATAGTTCTAAAAGCAATTCTGTCACTTCTGAGCATAGCGTCCATTCTGTGGGCGTATCCGCCAGTAGTCAATCTAGTAGTACCAATAGTTTGCCAGCAGGTGAGCTCACGTGGTATAAATGACAGATTACCAAAGTTGTGGATTCTAGTGCCAACAGCATTACAAATTACAAAAAAACGTAGCGTAAATGGCAGACAACCCTGCCGACAGAAATCATCATTTACCTTTTCGTTTTTCAAATCCTTAACGCTTAATGATTCCTTTGCCTGTTTTTTTTTTTCAAATTGGAAATTTTTTCAGGAGCGGAAGATGGTTCAGTTAGGCGTCATAGGCAAATCAATCACGCGGCGGCAGCTGCCATTTCAGACCATGGAACAAATAATTTCGCTACTATAAGAACTACCAGTATTGTTACCAAGCAGCAGAAAGAACATATGCAGGTAAAAATAACCTTGATACATGAAAAATTAAAGTTACATATGTATATGAAGTGTGAAATTTTGATGCAATAACTATTTTCAGGAGGAGATGCATGAACAGATGTCAGGCTACAAGCGTATGCGACGGGAACATCAAAACGCTTTGCTCAAACTCGAGGATAGGTGTAAGATGGAGATGGAAAGTCACAAGAATCAGTTGGATAAGGAGTATGAAATGTTGCTGCAGAACTTTAGTAAAGAACTTGAGAGACTACAGGTATCTAAACCATGTTCTAATTTTTTCTATGACTTGCATATTTTATTTATGATATTAGTATAGCTCTCTTCACTAATATCGGCGGGTCACAAGTCACAACGAAACTAGCACTATCATTTTCGTACATAAATCTTCCTCATACTTCTACGAGGCTTGTGCGGAAAATACGTATAAAAAAATCGGGGCGTTGTATTAAGGCGTTGTGGAGAGGTGGCCCGGTGGTTCCCTCTCTCTATGCAACACCGCATCAACATAGTTTCTTGCAAAGCTAGGCAAGAGTGGTCGTGAGATTCTTGGGTGTTTGAAACAAGTTTACGTAGACAATTCTCTGAAGGAACCAACCGACAACAAGTAGTAGTAGTAGTAGTAGAAAGATTTATTTATCACATTTGGCTACATAAACAGAATGATTGTAAACAACTTAGAACTAGTAAATTCAAGCCATATGGTGTATGATGTAAATGCTGGGCAACCTATAATTGTAGATTTAACAAGTGATTTCTCAATTTTACTTTAAATTTTGTCAAAGTTTTCTGGTCTTTTATCTCCGAGTATAATTTATTATATTCAATCAACCCTTGATGGAATACAGATTTGTAGCATATGTTATACTTTTTGGTCATTAAATGGAAGTCATATTTATTTCTGGTATTATGTAAATGATGGTCGACATTTGATGATGTTAAATTAGTTAGACTTGATGGAAATATATTATTTTTTACTTTATAAATGAATATCATTACAAGATATTTGATAAAAAATTTTAATTTGCTAAGCATGGAGTATATTTATCTTTATTTAGTATTATTCTCATGCACTTATTTTGTAAAATTTGCAGTCGTTCAAAAATGGAATTATTTGCTAAATATAGAATAGTCGAACAGTACAAGAAATTTGGAAGAATGATGGTATTATAGATAATTTTTCTGCTATATGAACTCAGACATCCAGAAACTCTCGATAAATATCCCACTTTACTACTAATCTTATTTACAACTTTTTCATAATGAATATCAAAAATTAATCGAGAGTCAACAAAAACCCCCAGGTATTTAAAATTTTCTACGAATTCAATATCTTCACCATCAATATTCAGTTGAACATTTGTACATTGTTTTTTTCCGATTAACAAGGCTTTCGTTTTACTTGCATTTAATTTTAGTCTGTTAGATGCTAACCATTTTGAGACAAGCTTCATGTCTTCATTTATATAAGAGATACCAGACTGAATATTTTTAGTACTTATATAAATCATAGTGTCATCGGCGAAAATCTGAATTTTGCATTTTTTGACTATGGCAGGTAAATCATTTATATATAAAATAAAAAGAAGTGGTCCCAGGATACTGCCCTGTGGAACACCCAACGTATTTTCAATTTTTGATGAAATAGTGTCATTAACTTTTGTAACTTGCATCCTTTTAGACAAATAATTTCTAAACCAATCTAAAACACTTCCTGTTATACCATATGCCTTCAATTTACCTAACAAAATATCTCTATCAATAGTTTCAATTGCCCTCTTCAAATCCAAAAATACTGCTATGACAACTTCTTCTGAGTCTATGGCTCTTCTCCAATTCTCAGTTACCAACTGGAAAGCTGTTTCTGTGGAATATTTTTTTCGAAAGCCTGCTTGCGCCTCCACTAAAATTTAGCTTTCTGCTATAAACTGCATTAATTGGTCATGCACTATGGACTCTAATAATTTTTCAATGTCTGGTAACACATTTACTGGTCTCATATCGCTGCATCTTTTAGAATTTTTTATTTTGGGAACTGGTGTTATTGTAGAGCATTTCAAATTTTCAGGAAAAGAACTGCTTCTCAGTGAACAATTGATCCAATTTAATACAGGATATGCCAAAATTTCGAAACAGTTTTTCACCACGTTTTTAGTAGTGATTTCGGCACAGTTGTTATTTGATTTTAAACTGTTTACTTTTTTTCTTAGATAATTCAATGATACGCTGTGAAATTTTGAAAGTGTATGCAACATTTCCCCCTGGAAACTGATTTTCATATAGTCAGGTGCAGCATTGGCAGTACCCACAATATCAACAATACTTTCCACAAAATATTCATTTAGTTTGTTTGCAATCACCAAAGAATTTGTTTCGGTACCGTTTTCGAATTGAACTTGATTTACACAATCATGCGGCTTCGAATTAATCAGTCTTTTTAAAGTCTTCCACATCTTTACACTGTCGCACTTGTTATTATCGATTTGTTTATCGTAGAATTTCCTTTTTTCTTCTATAATTACATATTCACATTTATTCCTAAGAATTTTATATACCTCCCAATCATCATTTGATTTTGTAAATATACATTTATTGTATCGTTTGTATCTCAAATTTTGAGCTGCCTTAATATTCTTGTTATACCAGGGTGTATATTTTATCGAGCAAATCACTTTTTGATCAGTTGCAAGATCTAAACAAGTTTTTATATTTCCTATTATGTTGTCATATATTTTTCCCATATTCTCACCAAAATTCCAATAGCAGCCAGCAAGTTCTCGTTCAAGTTTTTCATACTTAATAGTATTTACGATTTTCTTAATTTTTGTATCAGAAAAATGCCCTACTAAGGGCAGCATTGTCCAACTGTGATCGCTAACTTTAGGTGTATGTACAGCTTTAATCCCTGCACATTCGAAATTTACAATAACAAGATCTAACAAAGTCTCTGATAATGACGTTATTCTGGTACTCTCTTCAATTTTTTGCTTGAACCCATAGTTGTTTATGGTTTCTTTCAATTTTCTTGTTTTCATGCTTTTACCATAATTTAAATTAAAATCACCTAAAAGTATTATATTGTTTCTAAAATTCCACATTTCTTCGCATTTTTCTTCAAAAAACGTTAAAAATGTATCCGCATCACTGTTTGGTGAACGGTAAAAAGTACAAAGATCATAACGTTTCCCAAATAATTTGAACTGTATATGTGCATACCAGTATGCATAGTCTAAAGTGGTACAATCGAATAATGTGATCTGTATTTTGTGGTAAACATAAATCACTACACCTCCAGTATGTCTGGAGTTGGAGTTGCATCTGTAGGTTTTATAATTAGTAATTTGTAATTCACCATCAGTGATGTCTTCTGTAGCATGTGTTTCGGTAAGTGGTTGAAAAGGTTTCTGAAAGGTGGAGATGATGTGAAAGAGGACGCTCAGGACACCCCTCCACTTCGAGCTCTGAGGGAAATGTTGAATGAATTCGGGACTGTGTCGATTGACAGTTAGAATGATAGCTGAGGAACTGTCAATCCCCAAAGCAATCGTCCACCAAATTCTGGCAGAAGCGCATCTTGTCTCAGGGGGAGTACTTTGAAGGAGACCATATTGAAATACCTGAACAATTGTAAAATAAAGTTGTTAGTCCACTTTTATACGTATTTCCGGACAATATATACTCCAGTCTCCTAACATTAAAGTTATAGTTTTTTAATTTTGTCTCACCACCTGGACAAATTATGTATGATTGTTCTATAACTATAGTTTTCAGAGTTAGGGTGACCAGTCATTTGTAATTTGCCCGTCAACCTCCTAGCTTAAGTCAAGCAACTGTGTAGTAAATACATCCACTCTTATGCCATTGCCCTTGATATCACGGAAGAGTAAAAAAAGTGTGTGCTAAATTTAGTGCAATATTTCCAGAAAGCAGGTTAAAACTTTGGCCTTTCCTCTATTACGCAAGAACGAGTAACAGCTGTGTTAAAGGATGGTTTCTACAAAGTGTAATTTGACATAGTTCGGAAAGTTATGCTCAGTATCATGTGTATAGTTAGTCGATCTGTGCACTTATTTCCATTGATATGTAACCGTCAAAATCGGTAAATGATGATTTTAACATTTGGAAATTCCAGATTAAACATCAGCAAGAGCTGGAGCGTAAACAGAAGCAGCATCAAGCTGCCGAAAAGAAGTTGATAAAGGAAATAACTAGCAAGCAGGATCTGGATAAAAAGGCGTTCGATGCTCATAGGAAAAAGGAGTATAAGGCGAATAAAGAAAGATGGAAACGAGAATTGTCTCAAGATGATTCAACGCCGAGAAGACAACGCGATGCTACATTGCAGTGAGTATTGCATTTTTTCCATAAGCATGTCACGTCTTGGACCAGATATATCACATGCCATTTCATTTCATCAACGAATACATATATAAGTTGTATCAATCACTTTTTCTATATTAAAGCGTCAGCAACTCGTCCAGGGTGGAAGCTCCGAGACCTCATTCAAGTTAAACATCTTCAACATACACCAATGTAAAATTTTCAACTCGTCTGATATCTGAACTATTGGTCTTGAAAGTGAGATGATATGTAATGTGCTTGTCGCAAATCTGACTTACAGATAAATGACGTAGCCTGGAAATATGGGGTTGTCCAAAACGGACGCAGGAAAGTAAACACATATTAAAACAAGAAAGATTGATATTCAAATCAAGTTGGGTACTTTATTTTGAAGGTTCATTTATACCAGATCAGTGTTGCCTACTCCGCTTACGTCCAATCGGCTGAGGATGTCATTGTCAATGATCCTAGCAAATTCTGGTGATTTGCCCAGATCAAAAAACAGCAATCTAGAATCCCCCCAAGGATGACGCTTAACGGCAATGTCTGCGATACGCCTCAGGATATAGTGGACAGTTTTGCTACCTTCTTTTCAACAGTTTTTATCCCGTCTGGTCTACTAGGGTCATCTCCTCCAACAAATAATTCTACCGATATCATTTCTTTAAAAAATATAAGTGAAGAAAACGTAATTAGGGCTTCGAAAAGATTAAAGAACAAAATGACGTCTGGATGTGATGGTATTCCAAGTTTTTTCGTTAAAGATTGCATTCATATACTAGCGAAACCGCTGGCTTCCATATTCAACCTAATTCTAAAATCAGAGACATATCCAAATATCTGGAAGACCTCTAAAATATGTCCTATTCACAAAAGTGGAGATATCTCTGATATTTCCAACTATCGCCAAATAGCAATCCTGTGCTGAGATCATCGCTTATGAAACGGTTTACTGCTCGGTCAGGGGTGCAGTCTCTATTAATCAGCATGGGTTTATGAGAGGCAGATCTACGGTCACCAACTTGGCTCTAATTACTCAATACATTTCTGAAGTACTGGACAGTCAGGGACAAGTTGATGTCAGGCTTTTGATCAAGTTGATCATTATGCACTTCTGGATAAGCTTAAAACAGTGGGTATGTTGATGCAATGCTGTCGCTCATGAATTCATATTTGAGGGATAGAAGGTTATTTGTCGGATATGGTGGTCATAGGTCGAGTTACTATCGGGCCACGTCTGGGGTACCTCAAGGGTCAAATCTAGGTCCATTATTGTTTTTAATATTTATTAATGACTTGTCTTTTGAACTGAAGTGTTTCCATTTGTTTTTCGCTGATGACCTTAAAATCTGCACGTCAGTCAAGACAGTCGAGGATTGCGTCATGTTGCAAGATGACTTAGCTCTAATTTCGTCATGGTGTTCACGAAACTGTTTCAGTCTAAATGTTTCGAAATGTAAAGTTATGACTTATACAAGAAAAGTGAACTATTTAATTTATGATAATTATAACATCAATGGTCAGGTTATAGACAGATGCACCTCTTATAGAGACCTTGGAGTCATTTTTGATACCAAGCTAACGTTTACTGAGCATATACTCAATATCTCGTCGGCTGCCACTCGACTACTTGGTTTCTGTATCAGAAACTGGAAGGGTTTCTCCAATGTTGATACATTAATGACTTTATTTTTTACTTTTGTCAGGAGCAAGTTGGAGTATGCGACTCTGATCTGGTCTCCTATATACCAAAATTCTGTCGTGATCCTTGAGGCCATTCAACGTAAAGCTTTAAAGTATTTTCACCTTAAATTCACAGGTTCTTATCCAGAAAGAGGTTGTGACCATAGTGCCCTATTAGAGTCTTTCAATTTGGATTCACTGTCAACAAGACGAAACATATTTGCTTTGTCGTGTTTGTATGGCCTCATTCACAATAAAATTGTCTGTCAAAATTTACTTGAAAAAATATGTTTCCGCGTTCCAAGGCTAGGGAGTCGACAACAAATGACATTCTATTGTCAAGCTGGCCGTACAAATGTTATGACAAAATCGCCAATTAATCTCATGTGCTGCGTCATGAACAGTGTTACTGAATCGTGTGATATTTACAGTGACAGTTGTGCATCGATTATTAACTGTTATAGATCATCCAATCTTATTTAGAATGTGTGATAGTATAGATTTAAGTCCAAGAACCATGTATCTTTAATTGTTATTTTTTTCAGCGTTTCCTGTAATTGGGTTTCACCTGTTGGAAATAAATAAATAAATAAATAAATGTTCACCACGACAGGATTTACAGACGTCCACGCGATGGTCGAAATTTTCAATGACATTTTGCAACATGGTCGGTTCTATGGCATTTATCTCGGCAATGATGTTGTTTTTGAGTTCTTGGAGGGTGGCTGGTTTGTTGACGTAGACTTTGCTTTTCAAATATCCCCATAAAAAGAAGTCCAAGCGAGTCAAATCGCACGATCTTGGTGGCCATGGCACATTTCCTCTGCGCGAAATCACGCGATCACCGAAGAAGGACTGCAATCGATGGATATTGACGTTGGTTGTGTGGCATGTTGCACCGTCTTGTTGTAAATAAACATCGTCCATATCCATTCTTTCAAGTTGCGCCAAAAAATAGTCCTCTATCATCACGTAATATCGCTCAGAATTGACGGTAACGGCGTCCCCGGCCGCATTTTCGAAAAAGTAAGGTCCGATGATGCCTTTTGACCACAATGCACACCACACAGTCACTTTTTGAGGATGCATCGGCTGCTCTTGATACTCACGGGGATTTTCGTTCGCCCAGATGCGGCAGTTTTGCTTGTTTACCGTCCCATTCAAAGTGAAATGCGCTTCGTCGCTGAACATGATTTTTGATGAAAAATTGGCATCAATTTGGCGGTGTTCAAGGAGCCAATCTGAGAACGTTCGGCGCGAAAAATGGTCGGCCCGACGCAGCTCTTGCGTCAATTGGATCTTGTAGGCGTGTACATTCAAATCCTTGTAGCGAATGCGGAGCAAACTGGTTCTCGAAATGGCCAATTCTTGGATTCGACGCGTTGTTGATTGTTTCGGATCGTCTCTCACACTCTCCTTCACAACAGCAATATTTTCCGGTGTGCGAACGCTCCTTGGCCGGCCAGAGCCTGGCAGATTTGCCACAGAACCTGTTGCCTCGAATTTACGCACCAGACGACCGATGGTTGTTTCGTTTGGGCGGTTGTTGCGACCGAAATGTTCACGAAGCGCGCGACACATGTTTTTTATTTTTTCACCATTTTTGTAGTGCTCTTGAATAACTTTAATGCGGTCTTCAATCGAATACGACTCCGTAGCGATCAATGGTAAACATACAACTAACAAAATGACATGTCGGTGACAGAAAACAAAGATGGCGTCTATGTCAAATTGACGTTTACTTTCCTGCGTCCCTATTGGACAACCCTATATTTCAAACCGGGGGCTCTAGAAATAAGATAAAATTATTTGTTTTATTATTTACTTTGAAAAGTAATTCAAGTATGACTTTTGTTAAATCTGTCAGTTATCTGAAGTCAGTGTTAGGTTAGCAAGTAGGATAAAGCAAATTTGATTTTTTCTTTGATAATAAGCACTAGGTTTATTCACATATACAGTAGTAGACAAAAGGTTGGAAACATTCTTAGTAATTTTTAAAGAGTGTGCTAATTTTTTATTCGTCATTATTAAGGACTATTTTTTTCTAATATAGTTTGATACAAATGACAGTTTGTGTTTGCTGTGCTACTACAGACTACAATTAAAATATCTTCATATTATTTTATGACCGAAAATGAGACGACAAACGTATGGAAACATATTTTATTACAAAATTGAATACAATAACTCTACAAAAACATTGTTTAGCTAATATTTGGTAGCATAGCCTTTAGCATTCAACACTGTCTAACATCTGCTGCTCATAGAAGACACTAATTTTTTTACAGATGTCTGGATATTTTGCCGAATATTTTTCACATGATCAAATAAATCGTTCCTATTTTTTTAAAAGTTTTTCTTGTCAGCTGTCTTTTAACATGCTCCCAGAGATGTTCTATAGGGTTTAGGATCGGCGATTGCCTTGGCAATGTAAGAACATTAACATTTTTTAGTCTTAACCAGTCCGAATTTTGGGGTATGCTTGGGGTCATTATCTAGCTGTCCATCGCAAAGGCATTTCTTCTCCTGGAAAAGGTAGTAGTATGTGTTCACTAAGAATATCTTTGTAAGGTTTTTGATCCATTTTCTTCTTTTCTCTTGAAATTATCATTGTATTTGTAGATTTCAATTGCTTCTCTGTACATTCGGGCTGAGTAGTGGGTGGATGTTGATAGGACTTCAGTTTGGTCGAACTGAACATTGTGGCCGTCTTGGAGTGCGTGTTCGGCCACCACTGATTTATCAGTTTGTCCCAGTCGACAGTTTCTTTCATGTTCCTTGATGCGTGTTTGGATGCTACACAGGAACACGGTATTCTGTATACGCCTTCACCGCTCAGGGGGTCCCTAGGGTCCTTTACTGAAGTTAGGAGTTGCTGGATTTTATTTGTCGGCTTGTAGATGGCCTTGACGTTGTGTTTCTGCAGCAACCCTCCTGTTCTATCCGTGATGCCTTTAAAAATCCGTGGTATTTTAAAAAAACGCTGGTTTTTATTTTCAGAGAATTTGAATATTGATAAGATAAACCTGTATTAGTACGGGAGACAAAGGTAGATTTTAATATTTGTTATCTGTTTCTTCACAATTTCAATTGAGGTATATGGAATAGTTCATAATATTGTTAATATTTGTTTCCAAACCTTTGTCCGCTACTGTAGCTTATGAAAAATTGCAATATTGCAAACTAAATGAGGTGTTTTCCAACATTTTTATTTAGTCAGAATATCAGTATTACTGTTTCAAAAAGTATATTCTGTGTGTTTCTACCTTTTCTTATGATCACAAAGTGGTAACACCCACCCTCGAATATTTTAACGAAATAATTTGCGCTAAATTTGTTTCGTAATAAGGTTTAGAATGTGACTCTACTCCTGCCATGAAGGTCAGGCTTCCATCAGATATGATGGAAACAACCGTTTATTCTCTGACCTTGACCGCATGACATGAAATGTGTGGCCACATTCTGTTAGTAGCTGGAATAAAATTATATATTTTCGAAGCACGAATTTCAAATACGTTTGTTCAATACACGAGGGATGAAACGAGAATGAAGCAATCTATTTCTACCATTAAAATGCAGTTTTGTCTCGGTAGAGAAATACCCCACTCTGCATGAATCACAGTAGTCACACATTATCTGCACCACAAAGGATAAGCTATGAGCTTTTCCGCAATTTCATTATTTTTTACGGAATAAATCATGCCTTGATTACTGTCTTGTTAACATTAAAAGCCAAGTAATTGTCGCACCATTTTTTAATTGATTGCATCTCACTATCAATTTTTGTCTTGATTTTATTTATATATTTTTCTACGAAAACCAGGAATGTACCATTTATTTTTAAGTGTATTAAATCCCTGATATAGACTCGGAATAGGATTCGACCAAATGGTGATCTTTGAGGTACCTCTGCGTTTATATTTAATGTATTTGAAATGTAGTGTCTTTAATTTTGTATCCGCTTCGTTCCAGGACTCACAAGGACAACCTGAAACTAGTGGACGCTCAGGAGGAGCAGCGCTTGTTGCGCGGCCAAAAGGAATATCTGGATCTGGAGGTGCGAAAGTTCCGCAGAAAAAAGCTGATCGGATACCACCAGCTGGAACAGGACCTGCTCAGGCAGGAGCTGAACAAGCGACAGCATCAGCTGGAGCAAGCGCACGCGATGTTGCTGAGGCATCACGAAAAGACGCAGGAGCTGGAGTACAAACAGCAGAAGGCCGTACATCAGTTGAGAGAAGAGCAGGTAGGAAAATTTTTTTGTGTTCTAGGGTATCTAATTTCACTGATCAACAGCCAAAAAATATCCTAAATAAAATCAACAAAATATTACTATTTTTAATGTGCTAAAACCGGAATGAAACTTATTTTTTCAATATTAGTTCAAGTTTTAGAGATACGGTAATTATATGTGTTCCTGCTGTGATAGTGTTAATATACTGGAGTTCACAAGAATGCACGTGCTACATTTTTATATTCGGCAAGGAAAGATGATGTAATCGGCATGATTGTGTTACGTTATACATACGTGTACATTATATTGTTTTATATTAGCCATTTTTTCCTCAGTTGGCTGCCAGCGTTCATGCAAGATGTCTCGAAAGTGTGTAAACAATCCAGATCAGTTTTGTTACGTGTGTGGTGATGTGACTTTTGCGTCTCAGAGACGGTCTATTACTCCACTAATAACAAAGGCATATCAGCTTTATTTCGGTTGTAAACTAGGTGATCAAGACAAACAGTGGGCACCCCACAGCTGCTGTAATACATGTGCTTCAAGTCTGAGGAGCTGGTTAAATGGCAAAAAACGGTCTATGCGCTTTGCTGTCCCAATGGTTTGGAGAGAGCCTACAAATCATATTAATGATTGTTACTTTTGCATGGTACCTTGTGTTGGACAAGCCACAGGTTTGTCCAAGAAAAAAAAATCGGTTATTAACTACCCAAACATACCATCTGCGATGAGACCTGTGCCTCACAGTGACGAAAATCCTATTCCAAAACCCCCAGAATCCTACACTTGCGAATCAGAAAACGAATCAGATCATGGCGATCGAGTGATTCGTCAGGAAGAAGATATGCCATCAACGTCAAGAGATCCTGATTTTATACCGAGCACGTCATGCCACCAACCGCACAAAATAACACAGTCAGAATTAAATGATCTTGTAAGAGATTTAGAACTTCCAAAATGTAAGGCAGAGTTACTTGGATCAAGACTGCAGCAGTGGAACTTGTTAGAAGATGATGTTTCGGTATGTGTTTTTCGTGAACGCCACAAAGACTTAGAACCATTTTTCAATATGGAGAATAACTTGGTTTTCTGCAGTAACATTAACGCCTTACTGGCGGCTTTAAATATAAACTATAACCCAGAAGAATGGAGATTGTTTATAGACAGTTCAACATTGAGTTTAAAGGCAGTGTTATTGCATATTGGAAATATTTTACCATCTCTTCCTGTAGGGTATGCAGTTCACATGAAAGAATCATATGACAATATGAAATACCTATTGACATGCATAAAATACGATGAGCACCAATGGCATATTTGTGGCGATTTGAAAGTTGTTGCACTTTTACTTGGGCTGCAGCTAGGCTACACAAAGTTTTGCTGTTTTTTGTGTGAATGGGACAGTCGGGCAAAGGCACTTCATTACACCAGACAAAACTGGCCTGTTCGTCAATTCCTAGAGCCAGGTCAAAAAAATGTACAGCATATGCCATTAGTAGATTCGAAAAAAATTTTATTACCACCACTGCATATCAAGTTGGGCCTAATGAAAAACTTTGTCAAGGCATTAGATAGAGATGGGTCAGCTTTTCAATACCTGCGTCAGAAATTTCTAAGACTAAGTGAGGCAAAGGTTAAAGAAGGTATTTTTGTTGGGCCACAGATTCGAAATATTTTGAAAGATACACAGTTTGAAAACACTTTAACAGGTATTGAAAAAACTGCTTGGAATGATTTCCGTCTGGTGGTCACTAATTTCTTGGGAAATAGAAAAGCTGACAACTATAAAACCCTTGTCAAAAATATGCTGTCATCGTATCAAAAGATGGGCTGTAATATGTCTCTTAAGATATATTTCCTACACTCACACCTGGACTTTTTTCGTGACAAATGCGGAGCCGTAAGTGATGAGCACGGCGAACGTTTTCATCAGGATATTTCAACAATGGAAAAAAGGTACCAGGGAAAGTGGAATCCTTCCATGCTTGCAGACTACTGTTGGACTCTTGGTAGAGATGCTCCAGAAACGATCCATAAAAGAACAGCAAAAAGACAGCGCATATAGTGATTCTTATAAGTATATGAATCTTGTTACTTTTTTTAATATATCCTTAAAAATAAAAAGTTTTTTTTCTAAACCGCAACTAATTTTTTTATTTCATTGTCATTTTTGGATTCAGCGCCCCAAAATTAACAAAGAAGTGCACTTTTCCCACAAGATACAATTAAAAAACTAAAATTTGTTGTCCAGTGCTAACACTATAAGATCCATTTTCAAAACCTCTGAAGCTTTTGTATTGTTGACAGTAACTTCCAAATAATAGAGGGGTCAAGGATTATCCGGTTTTTTATATTTATCCTATCCACTAACAATTTTGTGTTTTAGTATTTCATAAAAATCTCATCGATATTCTTCGAATTAGGAGCCACACCTGTATGAATGAACCCATCCTCATTCATAGTTTAGTTTACATATTTTTATTGTTACAGGTTAAAAATCAACATGACACTGAGTTAGCTAATCAAGCCGAGTATATGAAGCGTACAGAACGAGAGATGAGAAAGAAACATGCGCTTGAACTGAAACAGCAACCTAAGTCACTTAAGGTTAGTATTTATCTGTGAATAAGAAAAAATAATTCAGTTGTTTCGTAGAGATTTGGGAAAAAGTATAGCGATTATACATTTTTTATTATTCTTGTTAAATGCTGAATAATTTTCATGTTGTTATGATTCATTTTGGTTCAATTCTATCACACAACAAAATATATTTTATATCAAATTACAAGAGGGGTGCCTTCTCCTGCAAATCATATATTAAATATACTTTAAACAAACTAAAAAACACGCCTGATATTAAATGTTAGAATTATTTTTTTAATTGCTATTTATAAAATTGGAGTTATTATGAAAATATAGTTGAAGGGTACCGGGGAAAAACGGCATTAGTCCATTATTTGGCTAAATTGAGCTTTCAGTTTATTTTGGTGGCATTTTCCGGATGGTATCTTGTAATCAGCTTCTTAGATTGTGAAAAGGGCTTAGGTTCACAAAACAACAGCTATAAGATTCCCTGTGCCGGGTAAGAATGACATGAGTCGCTGCGCGTGTATGGAAAAACGGCATCAGTCCATATGGAAAGGCGGCGTTGCATCGGCCGTACCGCTTGGGCGAGAGTTGAACATCATCTTTTGTTTGTTACGTTACTAGTTTTGAGTAAAAGTTCATTTTGTAAAATCTATTTTACCAATAAACACACTGTTTAGCAAAGATATTCTTTACGACTTATTTTTTCATCAATTTTACTTTCCAACAAGTAAGTAAACTTTAATTACCGATTTTCTCAAAATCAGTCCGGGTGGACTATTGTCGTTATTCCCCGGTACTCTTCAGTTAATTGCAGCCCACATTTTTTTACCATAATTGTATGTTTTGTTAATATCTTGTTTTATACTTTTCACTTCGATTTGCTCTAAAGGCGTATTTTTTTAGTTGTTAAATTTATTTTCTGAATCTTCAGTCTTAAAACTGTAACAAAAATACTTATAATCAAGAGCCTCAATTTTTGGTAATTTTTTCAAATTTCGAAATTTTCTAAAATTTTACAATTCTTCAAATTATTTTCCAAAGTACAAAATTAATTTTTTTTTAAAAATGTTGAATTTGATTTTTTTCACAAGATTGTCATCAATCAGCCTTTGACCCCCTGTCAACCTACTTGAAATTAATGAAAATTAGGTTGAAAGATTCCATTACATGAAAAGTGTGTTAAAAATTAAACGACTTTTCACCAACATGTAATTGGATATACGTTAGTTACCGTTTTTTGTTTTTTGTTACCAGCAAAAGGAAATGATGGTACGCAAGCAGTTCAGAGAAACTTGTAAGGTACAGACGAAGCAATACAAAGCTTTGAAAGCGCAGATCCTTCTGAATACTCCCAAGGAAAATCAAAAGACCGTCATCAAGAAGCTTAAAGAAGAACAAAGGAGAAAATTGGCATTGCTCGGCGATCAGTATGAACAGAGTATCGCGGAAATGTTGCAGAAGCAGTGCATCAAACTTGACGAAAGCCAAGAGGTATAATTTAATAAATCGCAATAGTATTTCGACTAATCGCCTTTTTCTTTCTTCTTTTTTCAGCTACAAATTCAGCAGATGAAGGAACGTCTGAGATACGAACTCGAAATTTTGATTGCGTACCAAAGCAAGAACAAGATGCAGGCGCAGGCACAGAGAGAACGCGAAAAGAACGAACTACAAGAGCGCGTTTCGGTTAGACGAGCACTGTTAGAGCAAAAGGTTCGTATAGAAATGCATATTTCAATATATGCACGTAACATTTTAAAACATGTATATGATTTTTCCTTTATAACAAGTTGTTGTTTACTAATTTTAAAATAAACAATTAGGATATAATTTCACTGTTATTTATTTGATTAATATTTTATTTCAGATGCATGCTGAGAATCAACGATTTATCGAAGAAAGAGGCGAGAGGATAAGGATTTTACACGAAAGGCAGGAGAGGGAACTTCAAGAGTTTGATGCTGAATCTGTAAGGCTGGGATTTAGGTATGTGGAATAATATTCGTTACATTGGTCAGAACTATACATCTTAAAATGATTAAAAAAGCAGTAATGAAATACACGGTCCGTCAGAAAGAACGCAGTCGAAAAACATGCGTTCTTTCTTATCATATTGATACGTGCACTTCAAACCACTGAACGTTGAACTCTACCTTTTGGCAATGGTATTAAAAATGTGCGTTTCTGCGTCCTACGCCACTGAGCAAGGAAGTGTGTAATCGCGAAAATTTCTAAAATGAGATATGCTTTTTTATTACGTCACGAAAAACATTGCCCTCACTTCCGGTCTTTCTGTCTGTCTGACCGCCGATAACTTGAAAAGCACCGCTCAGATTTATATGAAATTTTTACACAAGGTCTCTATTATGTTAAGAACGAAAAAGCTTCGTAGTTTTGAAAAACGGTCAAACGCAGCTTAGCTTGGGGCAGATACACGAAAAAAAAATCAAACTTTTCACGTTTCAGAATAATTTTGTAGGTGTTGAAATTCGGTGGTTGGGGGAGTGTGTATGAAAAAGTTCCGATATTAGTCCCGAAAGCGCCAAACGACATCGAGAACCCGACCAGAACTGTTGTCGCTCTTTGATTTCTCTGCGCGAATTACCTTCCAAAAGCAAGAATCGAATCACCGACCGATATTGCTCTTTTTCCATTTTTCTAAAATCCGCGGACACGTCCGCTCTACACGCGGTCAATACAAAACTACCGAATCGGCTCAAATTTTGACAGCCGTCTACGAAAACGGAACAAGCATGAAAACCGCAGGATAAGTTGAAATCAAATCTGTTCTGACATTTGAAGTGAGGGAAATTATCTAATTACCCATATGTTGTTTGTGTATATTAAATATTATATTTTGTATTTTCAGTGCATTGGCAATCGCAGAGATATCGTTAAATGATATGTCACGTGATATTTATGACGATGACGCTAGCCTTTCAGGATCCATGCTGAGTCTGGCGCATTCCAATAGTTCCACGAGTTTTCCACCTAGTTCGGTATAGTAAGTGCAATGTTATTGATTGATAAACACCAAATTTCATTCGGATTATGTTTTATTGCGAATCTTTTTATTTCAAATTCATACAAAAGTTTGTTATACTAAACTGGCTGTTAAAATTGACGGTACATGGTACAAAAAAGACGCCGGTAATAATACTGGTGATTCTGGAAATAAGAACAATTTATCAGAACTCCAGCGGTTTTGAACTCTAATCTTACATACGAGGAACTTAGACAAAATAATTGACTTGTACAAATATCTTAATGATTCTCTTTTACATCTTTTTTTGCAATATCTATAAAATTGTCGAGAAGTATTCACTGGCAGTATACAAATTCCATTGATGTTTTTTTTTTTTTCATAAAGCCAATTGCCTAGTATTACCACGTGTTTTATAGAAATTGTTTTATTTCGCAACTCTAAGATTTTAGCATTGATTAACATATTCAACCAGGAGAAACTCATTTCAAGTGAAAACTGTTTATGTACCGTGTACCTCTATGTAATGGTCGTAGGAATAATTAGGCCAGAGGTTGAGGGGTGATCTTTCCTTGGAGGGTTTATGTCATTTTTAAAAAAAATTATTTTGAGTCTGTTTTTATTGCCTCTAATGAAAGTACTGCGATCCTATTAGGCAAGTGGTTGGGCATCTTGGAGAATATATTAATCAGTAGTTTAAGTCAATCAATTCAATAGTTCATAATTTTTGCAGATTATCATTTTTTTCTCCGTCTCTTCCACCCAAAAAAACCTAATTGAATGACAATTTTCAATGTGGCGATTTTTGGGTCCATTTCAAGAAGAAAATAAACGTATTAACTTTTGAGACACCGCGTGGTAAAGTTTTCAAAAATAAAACATTAAGATCTGTAATACCACTTTAGATGATTTAATCAAATTTGACTCACATGTACAAGAGCAGGGTTGATAAAAATCATTAATTTTTTTTGTTTGTGGCAGATTTTTTGATTTCTTTAAATGTCTGTATGTCTAATCCTTGGCCACTCTGTAACTTGGGAAGTACCGGTCCGATTTTGATTAAATATTCACGCAAGATTACTACTATGCCAAGGACGAAAAAGCTGTATTGTTTCTGGAAATCGGTCCAGTGGAGGCGGAGAATAAGACCAAAAACGAAAAAAAAAGAAACAAAAATCGATTTAACGTTTTAGAGGGAGGGTCCTGGTCATTTAGAGAAAAACATTTGTACGGGTTAAAATTCGGGGGCTGTAGGGTGAGGGTTTCTTGATCTTATTATACTTTATACGGTCCCAACCCCGGTAATTCCATGCACGTATTAGAGATTTGTACATTTGCCTTTCTGTACATACTAGAGCGCAAAAAACATAGTGCAGCTATGTCGCGTAGATGTGGAAAGGGACAACGTTGCCAGGTTGGCAGTAACTACCGACGGGGCAGGGAAAGAATGTCTTTGGACTAAGTGTTTACGTTCTCTGTTGTACATGTCCGTAACTGACTGTTTTCTCAGCCGATTTAAATTGTGCTGTACTTGATTATGAACTGATGACGATGACGCGTAACAAGTGCAGATACAACTTACTTGACTTCATTTGTATTTTATAAATTAGACTTAATATTCACTGAAAATTGTAGATTTTGACTTTATTAACAGACAACCAATCCCCTGTCAAAATTATGCATTAGCCACACTTCAGCTGTCGTGGAATGTTGCATAAAACTATCAATAAGGTTTATATCATTTGCGACATTTTGAGCATTTTCAGAAATCCCAAATCCAAACCGTTTCTCTGCATGATCATTTTTTTATACTCCAACCACCACGAAGGCCTAAGGCCTAAACACCCATGGGGTACCGTGGGGCTATAGGGGGATACAGGCGAAAGGGGGAACGCTAGACAGACTCTGGCGAGGAACACTTATTCTGGCCACGCCTACGAGATCCGCCGGGTGGTACCTCCGCGTTCGACAGTCAGAGACCGTCTACCACATACGGACAATCACAACATCCATAGCCAAGAGAAAAATTTCTCCTGGGACGGGATTCGAACCCGCACAGCGCACGGCGACTGATTAGGAGACCGAAGAGTCTACTACTGCGGCCACCACTGCTGCCTCAATATCATAATAATATCGTTACTATGACAATATCACCATGCAGAGAAATAAATTTAATTTTTTAGGTGTAATTTGTGCTTCGGGCTGAAAAAAATCAAAAGATAAAATCTGTTCATTAATGAATATAGATTCCATTTTTTATTTTGAGAAAAGTCAGTGACCTGCCAAACGATTTATTTTCGAAAAATTTGCCACGTTCTATCTCAAAAGTTAAGACGTTTAGAACATACGGTTATATGAAGTTTTCTTCTTAAAATCGACCTAAAAATCGTCCCGTTAAAAATTCATACAATTACTCCGTATACTTGAACACAGTGTAATTAAAAGAGATTTATTTCTGCCTTAGTTTATAATACAAATGGCAGTTGACGGAATTTCCGAGGAATGATCACATTTCTGTAATGCTAAATCTCAAATTTGACAGCCAGTTGAAAAATTTGGTACTATTGAAGCTATGTAACTTTATTAATTATATGTAATATCGTGAAGTTTCAATGAATCTTTTTTAAATAATTAAATTAGTACCAAAAAGCTACCAAAATTGTACCTTAATTGTTATTAATTTTCTAATTTATTTATTTATATCTAGCAATCTGTAGGATAGTTTTTATAATGTAATTGTGTAAATCGAATAAAAATATACAGTCGTACGTATATTAGTAGAATCTAGGCTTTAGAGGAAAATTCACAAATCTTAAAAAAAATACTAAGGTAGTTGAAGTAAAGAGTTTTGCAAGACGACTTTGTGAAGACACTACCTCTTTCAGATGCTTTTCAACAATACGATCAGCTACTTGTAATGAATCTTCTATGATTCGGCCAAAATACGCGTCGCCAAATCAAAGAATCAACAGATCGAAAGTTTATTCTGCATTGCGAAAGCGGTCCGTTAGACCTTTTCTTTTCGTTTAAAATTTTGACTGACAGGTTGCTCAGATACTGGATAAAACAGGTAGGAAAAAGTCCAGATGGATCAGTCGGAGGACGCTGATCGGATTCGGAAATGTTAAATCAGGCTAATAGTTAATTTTGATAATCGATGTACGACCCACGTTTTGAAAGCGTTCAAACTTGATCGACTGTGTAGTCCACTGACTCACGCAACAAAGAGCCACTGTACAAACGTTTTGACTATAACGTAGCTATTGATTATTATTATCACTGCAACAGTAGGCGAAAAAGTGCTAAGACACTGTTGTCTTTTTTTATGGTTTTTAATGCACAAAACGTGCATAAATTGGCAGTTGTTGCACCCACTGTATTTTTTTTCAACAAGAGAGTTTCACGAGTATACAACACGATTTGAAATGAAATTGGAGACGCATCATGAATGGCAAGACCTTCAATACTTTTATTTGATCTTTTGGTAAGCAAATCAACAAACCCAGGGTGGGGTAAATAGAAAATTGGTCCGAAGGCTGAATCTTAGAAGCCGTCTTTATTGTGGAGTTACGCCTTCATGGTTGTAGGATTTGATGAAACGATTTCTATACTATCCTATCCTGAGCTGAAAATCTTACGCCGTTAGAAGACTAAACTAGACTTTTTGACCTAATCCGTATGAGGTATGTATAAACAGGAAGGCGGCATTATGTGATGTCTGTAGTGTTCCAGTACTAACTGATAGAGAAGAGGTTAAATGAATCTTTGAATCACAAATTGTCTTGTTGAGCTCCATAACTACAGAAACATTTACAGTAACTCGATTACTAGCAAGCGATTAAAACGATTCAATGATGAATTTATACTTGATAAGTTAGTATCAAAACCTTTTTAATATGTAGGCTAACGAATTACCCTTAAAGATTCCTTTAACGAATAAAGGAAATCCAGTATTCTAAAAGCTAATTGTTAAAGATTATTTGCGAATTAAAATTACTCATATTTATATAAATACATATGCATAGACTGCTTTTTACCCCCAATACCCTTGGAAAGAGTGACTTTATAGGAATGACGGTTAGATTGTTGAACATTGCAAATTACGGTACCGCAATGCTTCTAGAAATTGGTGTGATGTCTCGAATATTATACAGTCAAAAATACCATGGAGTTTAGAGAATCATGAAAACACACGATGTATCACTTATTTAAGGCTATTTTGTGTAAATCATACTCTCGCAGATCCATCATGACTCACTTATTTTTTGAGTTAAATATTTGTCTATTTTGTGGAAAAAATATAACAATTCTCGCATAACTTGGTTGTTTCTTGTGATACAAAGAAATATCTCTGTATCTCTACAATCAAATGATATACAGGGTGCGTCATCTATTACTTTTTTCTATTTGAAAAATCAACACGCTTTTTACGAGGTGAAATCGATTTTTTTTATTGATAAATGAAGGTAGGTTTATGCCATTTATGTATGAAAAATAACATCAGTCATGTGACCACCGTGGCTTCGTTTACAGGTCAACATCCGAACATCAAAATTTTCAATGACTTTTCCCAGAATAATCGGGTCTGTGGCCGCAATTGCAGTCCGAATATTGCGCTTTAGGTCTTGAATTATCCGGGGACGAGTCGTATATACTTTTCCTTTCAAAAATGCCCCCAAAAAATAGTCAAGAGGTGTTAAATCGCACGATGTCGGGGGCCAACTGAATTTCGTGAAATTATGCGGACTTGAAATTTAGTGTGCAATAAGGCGATTGTTTGGCGACATGTGTGAGCCGTTGCTCCGTCTTGATGAAACCAAAGATCGTCGGCACCAATACGATCCAATTGTGGCCACAAAAAGTCTGTTAACATGCCGCGATAACGTTCCCCGTTGACGGTAATGGCCGTTTTTTCGGCATCTTCAAAGAAGAATGGTCCAACGATGCCACCAGCCCATAATCCGCATCAAACAGTCACTTTTTCAGGATGGAGAGGTTGTTCATGATATTGGTGTGGATTTTCAGCCCCCCAGAATCTGTAATTTTGCTTATTTACGTACCCATTGAGGTGAAAATGAGCCTCATCAGAAAAGAGCACTTTAGCCGAAAATCCGTCTTCTCTTTCCAGCATCCAATGAACAAAAACACGCCGCTGTTGAGGGTCTGCTTCAATTCTTGTGTTAGTTGGATTTTGTATGGATGGAGGTGTAAATCAATGTGTAAAATCCGGCGTAAAGTGGTCTCGCTAATTCCCAATTGTTGCGAACGGTGCCTAGTCGAGGTGGTTGGATCTTCTTGCACACATTCACTCACTGCGGCTATGTTTTCACGAGTACGAGCTGGACGAACATGTTGGTATGGTCTACGACCTTCAGCTGAACCAGTTTACCCTCAAAACGATGAACAATCAAACGAATTCCAGGCTCTGTAGGGCGTCCATGTCGGCCAAAACCGAAGTTTGCGGAAAGTATTTTTTATATATCGACCGTTTTCGTAGTAAGTTTGGATAACCAAAATGCGTTGTTGTGTTGTAAACGAATCCATGACTATAAGTGGCATACCTTTGACAATACATTTATGCATACCACGTATAGGTAAAAAAAGTAATAGATGGCGCACCCAGTACAATGGAAGCATGGATGTAGGAAATAAAAAGACTAAACAAAGGCATTTCAGTGTCCTTTTCATTATATGCAATGCACATTAGATAATGACTTTGTTCCTGTTGTAAAAAAACTGAAGTTCTTATTTGCTAGAAATTTTCAGAAAAACCCATGAGTTAATTGAAAGATACACTCTTCACTCAGATTTTCTCAGTCGGTACATTGAAAAGTCGCAGTACCAGAATTTGCAACGTTGATGCTTATGGTCCTTACCGTCAGACTTTGTATGCGATTCACAAATTTCTGAACGTGGATTAACCTCTAGGCGTTTCGCAAGTCATTCTGTTATGTATCATACGTACTGCAATTTTTTGTGATTTATCTTTATAAAGCTAGACGTTTTGTTTGAATGCAAGTAATGTGTAAAATTGTGAGGGTTCATTAACAGATCGTAATATTGCGTAGTGTCCTGCTATAAATTGACCCCCCTTTCTAGCTTTTCTATATGACCGTTTAGAAAAAAGAATCATGAAAAAGTTGTATGGTTTAATATGAAGTGTTTCATGCAATGCCTTTTTTTACAGGGTATCTCAGAAAAGTGCTATTGAATAAAGTTTTATTTGTTTGAATGTTAAATGTATTGTCAGTGAAAATGTTTTATTCCAATATATGGTTTATCAACGTATTTTTATTAGTTCCGTCAGAAGGTTTGGATTCTGTGTATCATGTTTGCATACTAGCTGTCTGTATAAAGCCCGAAACTTATGATTAAATGACACAATAAAGGCGTTGCATGGAACAGTATATAACTTTTTTTTCTAAGCAGTCATACACAAAAGTTGAAAAAGGGGCCAATGTATGGCTTATGGACAAAAGTATCCACAAAGTTATGATGAACTTACATTTTCAGAATGGATTTCAGATTATTTTAGGTCTACGAATGGCAGTGGATAAATTGATCACAGTAACGACTAGTTTCATAAACAAACATCCTCATAAAGCACTTTGATATAGCAGAATTTCAATTATCAGAGCTTAAATAATGACATATGACGCTAGTTTGATATCTAAAAAACTGTGTTTAATAATAGTTTGAAAATTAACCCCAGGTTACCCACAAAGACTAGAGATAGCAGGTGAAACTGCGTACTTGATACACGTATTTTATGAAGCCAATCCTGCCGCCAATGATGGTGGAAATCTAGTGGGCTTAAAGGGGCATCTGCACTTGAAAAATTTCAACATAACCTGCCGCAATCTTTATGTGCATTTAACTCACGTTTTTGATGCTTTCTCGGTTTATTACTTCATGGTTGATTTATATTATCCAATATTTCTGCTTGCAAGTCGTCCGAACGGTCAAAATTGGATTTGTTTACAGTCATTATGACGCATCAGGGAGAGATGCCACATGCGCAGAATCTGTAATTGATTTTCTGCGCAGTTTACACACGGGAGATCCCTACGCTCAGGGCTGCGTTCATAAATTTTTACAGTGTCTGTTACTCTGTAACAATTCTAGCGTTCGTAATTGTTTGAAGTGCACGTGTATTTGGAAAAAGTACATAGTAATCCTTCTGGAACGTCAAAAGTACAATGTTCCCGTTCTCAAACCTTGGGAACAAGAGTGTTGCCACTTGTCGTTCTCACGGTTCATTGTTTGTTTACTCTATTTGGTTATCAAAAAGTGCTCAAAATTGGCAGAATGTGTTTTAAAGAATAAATTAGTGGACTGTTAAGTGTCATGTGTGATAATTTAAATGAAGTTACATGGTATTGCAGAGTGAATTTTCATCTGTCATTCAACACTTTATTACCCTGTACGGCATTGCATTACCAAGTGATTTACAAACGCATCCCTGCACCTGACATGTTTGGCTTCATCCCCTCTCTACGAGTTTAATCTCTAGTCTTGATGATTGGGATATTTTATCGTTTAGTTGTCAATCGTGCCTGTTAAAGTAATAAATGTTTTTCCAGTCTATATTTGAATGTTTTAAGCACCCCGACTCTGTTGACGTGAATTTTCTAAGTCGACTTACGTTTTTAAGGTGGATCTATTTTTATTGTGGCACTTGAATGAGCAAGTTACTTTGCTTCAGCACTTGATTTATATTTCCAGACAAATATTTCAGAAACTGGAATGAGGGTTTACCTTCCGGTTTTTTTCAGTAAAAATTTAATGCTTCAAGATGAAATAATCCACAGTAGATTTTGTTAAAATGTTAGCGTTATTTACATGCCGTTCAAGTTTCATATGATCTGTCTTTCAAACATTTTGATAATTTTTTTTGTTTTATTGTCAAAGGGTAATATTTTTCATATATATTTCATTTCTATCATGTGCGGAATGAGACCATACCAAAAAGTTGCTACAGTCTGCCGATATCAAATCGTAAAACATTATGTGGTGAAATGGGGCATTAATATCTGTTGGGAATATTTTACTCACAGTTTAACATATTACTAGCTGGTTATAACTCAAAATATTCACAACCTGTTTCATAATATTAGGTATGAAATTTGGTATTTGCCTGTCAATAATGTTTATATATTAATTATTGTAAATATTGATTTAGTATGTGTAACTTTATTTGTATATTATTTTACCATTTTGTAACATTTACTTTTATTATACAAATCTTCCAACATTAACTGTTTTTATTATTTTAATCCAATTCCGGAAACTAAGCTTTGTGAGATTTGGATGTAGAACTGTTTATAAAAATAAATGTTTGTTTTAAGTATCATATTTCATTCAACACCTGTAGTGATGCAGCATTGCTATTGTTCCATGTCAGTCCTACAAGCTTATTTTTGTATTACCAATATTCATGTTTAACTTTATAATTTTCAGGCACAAGTTTTGCCTTGAGCAAGTTGAGAATTATTCTAATATATATACAGGGTATCCTACGTAAAACTACAGCAAACGATTTCTAGAAAAGTTCGTTTTCATTAGACAATTACACATGAGAGTATGGTATAACGAATATGAGGAATTCTGCTAAGCCTAAGACCTTGCTTTCTGCAGAAATTGACACATGACTACATCCCTAATAGATTTTAAATTGTGGAAGGTTTTTTCACATAGTGTTCCTGATGTAATATGCAGTGTACCGATGATATCGGAGGTAGCCCAGCGTCGCGTACTTTTATTTTCATTCGCCCAGTAAAACCTTGTGCCTCCGATAACATTGCAGGCGCTCCATCAGTAACAACACTACGCAAACTTTTGAGTAGTATTCCCATGTCATTCATTGTGTATTCTACAGCATCAAAAATATCTTCTCCGGCCATTGTATCTTTGAGCGGAATAACGTCTACTAGTTCGTCGGTGATAGTAAAGACTTTTTCGACACCTCTAACGAAAACAGCTAATTATGCTGTGTCAGAAATGTCTGCTTTCATCGAGAGCTATAGAATACTGCATAAACTGGGCACATTTTCCCGCAGTTGTTCTTTTAAATCAAATAAATAAAACAAGAATATTGAGGCAGCTCAAAATTTGAGAGACAAACAATACAATAAATATATATTCACAAAATCAAATGATGATTGGGAGGTATATAAAACTCTTAGGAATAAATGTGTATATGTAATTAGAGAAGAAAAAAGAAAATTCTACGATAAACAAATCGATAATAACAAGTGCGACAGTGTAAAGATGTGGAAGACTTTAAAAAGACTGATCAATTCGAAGCCGCATGATTGTGTAAATCAAGTTCAATTCGAAAACGGTACCAAAACAAATTCTTTGGTGATTGCAAACAAACTAAATGAATATTTTGTGGAAAGTATTGTTGATAATGTAGGTACTGCCAATGCTGCACCTGACTATATGAAAATCAGTTTCCAGGGGGAAATGTTGCATACACTTTCAAAATTTCACAGCGTATCATTGAATTATCTAAGAAAAAAAGTAAACAGTTTAAAATCAAATAACAACTGTGCCGAAATGACTACTAAAAACGTGCTGAAAAACTGTTTCGAAATTTTGGGATATCCTGTATTAAATTGGATCAATTGTTCACTGAGAAGCAGTTCTTTCCCTGAAAATTTTGAAATACTCTACAATAACACCAGTTCCCAAAATAAAAAATTCTAAAAGATGCAGCGATATGAGACCAGTAAATGTGTTACCAGACATTGAAAAATTATTAGAGTCCATAGTGCATGACCAATTAATGCAGTTTATAGAAGAAAACAAAATTTTAGTGGAGGCGCAAGCAGGCTTTCGAAAAAAATATTCCACAGAAACAGCTTTCCAGTTGGTAACTGAAAATTGGAGAAGAGCAATAGACTCAGAAGAAGTTGTCATAGCAGTATTTTTGGATTTGGAGAGGGCATTTGAAACGATTGATAGAGATATTTTGTTAGGTAAATTGAAGGCATATGGTATAACAGGAAGTGTTTTAGATTGGTTTAGAAATTATTTGTCTAAAAGGATGCAAGTTACAAAAGTTAATGACACTACCTGTATTTCATCAAAAATTGAAAATACGTTGGGTGTTCGACAGGGCAGTATCCTGGGACCACTTCTTTTTATTTTATACATAAATGATTTACCTGCCATAGTCAAAAAATGCAAAATTCAAATTTTCGCCGATGACACTGATTTATATAAGTACTAAAAATATTCAGTCTGGTATCTCTTATATAAATGAAGACATGAAGCTTGTCTCAAAATGGTTAGCATCTAACAGACTAAAATTAAATGCAAGTAAAACGAAAGCCTTGTTAATCGGAAAAAAACAATGTACAAATGTTCAACTGAATATTGATGGTGAAGATATTGAATTCGTAGAAAATTTTAAATACCTGGGGGTTTTTGTTGACTCTCGATTAATTTTTGATATTCATTATGAAAAAGTTATAAATAAGATTAGTAGTAAAGTGGGATATTTATCGAGAGTTTCTGGATATCTGAGTTCATATAGCAGAAAAATTATCTATAATACCATCATTCTTCCAAATTTCTTGTACTGTTCGACTATTCTATATTTAGCAAATAATTCCATTTTTGAAAGACTGCAAATTTTACAAAATAAGTGCATGAGAATAATACTAAATAAAGATAAATATACTCCAATTAGGCAAATGCTTAGCAAATTAAAATGGCTCAATGTAAAATTTTTTATCAAATATCTTGTAATGATATTCATTTATAAAGTAAAAAATAATATATTTCCATCAAGTCTAACTAATTTAACATCACCAAATGTCGACCATCATTTACATAATACCAGAAATAAAGATGACTTCCATTTAATGACCAAAAAGTATAACATATGCTACAAATTTGTATTCCATCAAGGGTTGATTGAATATAATAAATTATACTCGGAGATAAAAGACCAGAAAACTTTGACAAAATGTAAAGTAAAATTGAGAAGTCACTTGTTAAATCTACAATTATAGGTTGCCCAGCATTTACATCATACACCATATGGCTTGAATTTACTAGTTTTAAGTTGTTTACAATTGTTCTGTTTATGTAGCCAAATGTGCTAAATAGATCTTTCTACTACTACTACTACTACTACTAAATCTGCTCCAAGTTCAAGTATCGGACGAGAAATTGTTTGCTCGGACATACTTATTGTCTCAATATTTCTGCACACTCCACTAAGCATTCTTTGACAAGTGCACCGCCAGTAAACGGTCTCCCACTTTTTGCGATTTTCAAAGCAACAATGTACTTGCATTACGACACCATTAATAATAATCAACTACGACCAAATTAATAATTACCTCTTCAGAACTTAGAAGGGCTGGCCTCAATACCGTGTGACAAATTAAACATTTTGGTTTTCCGTCAGTATTTACAAAAAATAGGCTTCTTCCATGCAGGATTGAATGACATCGTTTAAAAAAGATGCACGTTAAGACGCTAAAAGACCTGTCCACTTTGTCTTGTCCTATTAAGAAATGGCCCGCCCCCGAGAGACAGTCGGCTAATGTTTGTCTCTGTCGCTACGGCTGTGCGGTCGAGGTGGAGGGGGAACGGCACCGGTGCCGCTGGGTTCAGCACCGGAGCGCAGAGCGCACCAGTACGATTTGTTCGAGTTGGAGAGGGCTGTCTTAAGCAATAAAAATAGGGATAGTTTTGTATAAGGTTATTTCCTTCGCAAACTAGTAGTTATTATGACTGATTTTTAACAATTTGCGAAGTAGATAACCCATCACAAAAACATCCTTATTTCTATTGAGTAAGATAAAGAGATTGTAAAAACAGGGGTTTCCGTTTGACAAAATTGACTTGGCATATTTTTAAAATTTAATTTCCATCCGACTTTTTTACTACCCTGTCTTATTAATTACCAAACGGACATAAAGTTATCCCCTTCTATAAGGAAGCAGTTACAGTCATTGTGGCCGGTATGCCTCTAATTTCATAATTCATTCATCAACTTTCCGAGTAATCGATCGCTGTTGTTCTACGTGGCACACCCTGTATATGATATAAAAATGTTCACTACTCTCGACTACGTTTACAATAAGTTAAAAATGTAACGCATGTGTGAGTAGGTGAAAGAGTTTGACGTATCCGACTCGTTTAGAAAACCAAATAGGATTTGAAAATCGCATACTCTTACATTGATGACGATTTTTTCGATATGTTTACGTTTAACGTCTCCAAGATGCTGTTGAGGCTTCGCGAGTGTATTCAGATCGTTTTCCTCGACGTTTCTATCCACCATGACAGGACGATACTTGGAATTTATCAAATGAACGGTAAGTACTTTTTCAAATTTCTTTCTAATGTGTCGGATTTTTACTTTCTAAGCCAAAACTGGCGTGTACTGTAATTGCGAAAAATTTTGAAATTGAGATATGTTTTTTGGATGTTATATTTTTATAACACAATATTGTATATTTGTGTGTAGTTATCTGAACCCATACCCTTGAAAACAAGGGGATAGAATCATATGATCCGAAACTGTGAATCCTCAAGTTTTCATACAAGTTTGTAAATGCATTCATTTTAGCCAAAATATTAACGTGTTCCTGGTTTCGTCAATTATTAAACGTTCCATCAGAGTTAACTTCGTTCTTAGAGATGAGACTGACAGATGACCTTGAGGCACACTTGTTCTCCCGATAATTGGTAGGGGAGCGGCTGTTCTACCTGTGTCCAGGAACCACGTCCACTTTCTCTCATTTCAGGAATTCACACCCTCATGAAGTCGTCTGCAGGTCGGTGTTAATTCAAAGACGATTAAGTATATACAAATGTACATTTATTTGATGAAATATGAATAAAATATAAAGATTAAATCAATATACATAATATTTTGATATAACAAGATACATCAGTGTTAGGGTACACAGACATAGCTGCAAAATTACTTTGTTAAAAAATCCCAATATAAAGCATATAACACTAGCACCATCAGTCATAAACCTAAAAGTGAGATAAAAATTGCAATATATACATAGATGTCAAGCTTTCTAGTACAGAAATACATTTCCGTCTTAATAATATATTTAGCGTAAGTTATGGTTACATGTATCCCGTTTATTCTACATATGTTTAATATCTCTACAGTTACATATAGTTAATTTTTGTTATATAAATTCTCTACTGCCATTAGCCTTCTTAAAGACAATTTGGGGTTTTCTCCAAATGTTCATCAGTATTAGAAAGCTAAAAACGACACTCATACGTGAAACCTAGGTTCATGACATCTAAGTTACGCTTCTGTGTTGTATCTCTATGGTAACATTCAGCAGAAAACAGCAATATTGTTGTTTACGTCATTTAGTTGTAAAAATATAAATGTATAAAATTACCCCCGAAAAATTATATATAACTAAAACTACTTACCCTAACATTAATGTATAGATTTAGCGAAAAATGATTCATGAAACGTATTAATGCTATTGTGTCGGTGAGAATTCTGTTGGCACCATAATACGACAATGCATTTCTCGGATCAGTGGCACCGTGTATGCTACACACTCATCCCATCCAGGGGACCTCCATGCACTCTCTCTAGTTATTTTTCTGGAGTTCAAGCTGGTATAACCTGTGAATTGGGGAATGATAAATAAACCTGGACAATTAAAGTGTCTTTAAAACAAATGTCCCAAACCTCAGAATGTACCTGTAGCCATGGTTGTTTTACTTACACCAAATATGATGGACATTGTATAATCGCCCAATCTGTGAGAAGAACCCTGCAAATGCTTCATCGTTGTTTTGTCTGTAATTGATGGCTCTAGCCCAGTTGTTGCCCCATTCTATCATAGTACCTGGTTTTAAGGCATAACTACGTATTTCATATATATTCTTTGGATCTCTGAGGAGGATCTGTGGCCAGTAGCTAAATGCTAAAAGGTATTGCAAGTGGCGGGATCGCACTAATTTACCCTGTTCTTCCTGAATTTTTTGATATTCCTAAAACAATGAAAGACTATTAGAGCTAAAATACTTACGGGACTAGGATTTCCAAAGTCTTAAATTGACATTTCATTTTTCTATTTAGTCAAGTTCATATAATTTTTCCTGGATCACAAAATTTTATAACATGATTATTGTTGTGAGTTCTCAAATTTTTGGCAAAGTTTCAACTCACTGTGTATCTGCTTAGGCAGAGTTTGTTTTGAATGTGTAATTTAGACGTGAATACAAGAATGTATAGGAAGTATCAATATATACTAAGTGATATATATATATAAGTGAATGTATTTATCTTACTGTAAATAACAAGTGAAAAAATTTTCAGCCTTATCAGTTGGACATTCCGGTTTTTATACTGCTTTTTTTTTTAATTCACTAACGCTCTAAAAATGAATATTTCAGCCGCAGTAAAGAATCAACGTTGGCGGATTTTGGTTCTTGACATCCTTTACGATCGGTTACGATGCCTAGAGTACGGAGACCTGTACGATTTCGTCAACTTAGTTTGATAGGGGCCGTATAGTGGGACTTCGGCAAGCTGGACTTTCTTTTCGGGCAATTGCAGTTAGAGTGCAAAGAAGTGCAGACACTGTGGTTAGGTGTTGTCAGGCATGGCTTCGAGAAGGCCGTCCGCAAAGAGCAAGGGGCACTGGACGCCGCCGTAGAACAACAGACCGTGAAGATCGCCGCCTAAGATTATTGGCCTTAAGGGACCGTTTCTCCACTACTAGGTCCATTGCAAATGAATGGTTTGCAGAACACGGAAGACCTATTGGCATGCGAAGTGTTTACCGACGAATGAGAAGTTTTGGCTTGTTTTCATACCGGCCACACTGGGTCCTCCCTTTAACTCGAGAACACCGACGTAATCGCCTTGAGTGGTGCAGACAACGGTCACTCTGGGATCAGGAATGGAACAGTATTGTCTTTAGTGACGAGTCTCGATTTTGTTTAGGCATGCACCATGGTCGTGCCAGGGTTAGAAGGCGACGTGGTGAAAGGAGGAATCCACAGTTTTTTGTTGAAAGACATGTTCATCACAGTGTTGGAGTTACGGTTTGGGGTGCTACAGCTTATGGTTCCAGGTCACCTTTAATCTTCATCAGAGGTAACATGAACGCGCAGCGTTATATCCACGAAGTTCTAGAACCCCATCTTTTACCCTATCTTGACACCCTGGCAGATCCAACTTTCCAACAAGATAGTGCCCGACCACATGTTGCAAGAGTCACAATAGACTTCTTTCAACATAATGATGTCACATTGTTACCATGGCCACCAAGATCTCCCGACTTATCCCCAATTGAGCACGTGTGGGATATGATGGGTAGGAGATTGCTCAATTTGCAACGTCCTCCTCAGACTCTAGAAGCACTTCGAGACAAGTTGGTGGTTGCCTGGAATGAGATACCACAGGAGGACATTGACCACCTGATCAGAAGCATGCCTAGGCGCGTTGGAGAATGCGTAGCACATCAGGGTGCATCCACACATTATTAAAGGTCAAAGGGCTTTAAAGCAGTGCAATCATTTTGAAATTTTTATCATTTACTTATTATGCTTCATTAAGTACTTGTACAAAATTTTATTAAAATAAAACCATTTAAACTGGGTGTTCGGATTTATATGTCACTTAGTATACTTATTTAAACATGTTTTCCAATTACAGTCAGAAATTTAAATCTGAACATTATACATAGTAAACCGGGTGTTTCAAATTCAAAAAAAACAACACCAGGAAATAATCGTTGTTTCAATGAATCTGGTATATGAAACAAAAAGGACTATCTGATAATTTTAAGGCCTACCTAGGTAATGCTATTTTTTTGAAATAACTAAGGTTTGGTATTGTCCATGCATGACATATTATATAATTTTGGAATCAGAACTAAAAACTTTTCATCTACGCAAAAATCCAATATAGGATAGGAGACGAAACATCATATTGAAATTCTAATTATGCCATCTTGTATAGGAGAAAAAGTGTCAACGTTAAAAGGCAATTTATTTTGAAGTTCAACTACAAATAATCGGGAAAAAATTAAAATTTTTTGGAAAATTCGGTTTTTCCGTCTCTCTCCCGAAGTACTTTGAATTTCGAAACTTTCTAAGCAACATTTCATTAATTGCCTGCCCCCATTTAAGCGACTTCGTATCTCCTACAGCTTCCGAGATGCCAAAGGTGAGCATCGAATTTGGAACACCCGGTATATAAAACAAACCTTAGCAATATAAAAAACACACCTCACTTTTTCCTAAGAACTCATTAAAGGTATCAATTTTTTCATAACCACCAGTGAATTTCCATAAATGCAATGCTTGATCTTGATCACCAACATTGACTGTCCATGATCCCACTAGCTCTACCTCTTTTGAAAGGCTATCTTGGGCTTTTATATAATCAACAGTCCTCTTGCTACAAATCACAAGACGATGTTAATCTAGTGGATATTTTTTGTATAAAGTTCACTAACAATTAATTTTCTGAGGTTTCAGTTCCGCCTCCACAGATATCTCCAAAAACTGTTTTAGAATCATCATTCTTTAGGATGTAAATCTAGTAAAACCTGTTTATAGTGTTTTTTTTTGTATGCAAATGAACCTTTCTAAATAAAAGAGCTGTTGGCAAGTAGCAAATGAATCTGTAGCCTACAAAAAACAAAACAAAATTAGGCTCTACCTGGTGTTCATGGATAAGTCAGAATTATGTGTCCTGTGCCGATATGGGGAATTTTGATATAATACTAGATAACCAGCTGTTATTCTACCGTGATAGATACTCGTGAAATAGGGTGTATTTGACCTTTGTTTAACCTACTTGGCCTCCCGCACTCATCTTGATCTTGAATTCTAATACATATTCGAAAAAATTTCCCGCACTTCCGAAAAAATAGGGGTTTTCATTAAAAAAATCGAGTTTGGGTAAGTTTCAACGAGGGAACTACGGTGCTTGTTACAAATGATTTTTAACCAATACTGTTTCTGCGGGTTTCTATTTTCGAAAATGACCTTGAAAATGAGGTTCAAGGACAAATCCAAGATCACTAGACAAAATTTACCAAAGAACAGACCTTGGCGCTTATTCTCATCACTAATCCTGTAAGATTCATAGTGGTTATCCTAGCAGCACACATTTGACCTTTAGTGGCCTTCAATTCGTATTTGAACGTAAAATTTTCCGCTCCCGGCATCAAAAATAGGGATTTCTATTTGAAGTAATAAAGTTGATCATGAATTAACCTAAACTAAACTTGAGCACTGGACTTGGACTAGATTGTGTCAACTTTTTTGGCTGAATTGAACAACATGGATGACATGTTGATGCTACATGCCACATAAAGGGTACCATAATAGACAATTTGCATGAATCGACTGAAGGTAGGATACTCGTGCAGAGGTGATATGAATTTAACACCAAGACTATATGATTTGACCACATTATTATCGATGTCACAGTCATGGAAAATTAAGCTTCTTGAACTCATGTTACTAGATGGAGCTGTGGCAGGCAGATGATCCATGCAATATCCTGAACAGTTGCCATATAAAAATGTATTTCATTAATACCTCGTACATAAACACACAACTTGTTTTATTCCACTAAAACAAAGCTGTATTCTAACAGGAGTGCACTCTTATGATGAACAGATTCAATAGAGGCAATTGAATTTTGATTAACCAGTTTAATCATGATAAAATATGTACAAACATAGAAGTACCATTAATTCATGCTTGAGACATGTAAAAACTTTTAAAAATATCTTGTATCTCCTAAACTTTCAATTGTTTGCATTTATTGTTTTCAAAAACAATATAAATTATCATGATAAACAATGGCTTAAAAACAACATAAAGATTACTTATAAACAATGTAGCAATGATTTTGCAATGATATTGTTTACATTGGTTTGTAGCTATCTAGATTATTTTTCTTGCAAATAGTTACTTACACATTGTTCAAATATGGGATTTTTGAGTCTGGCCTATAGTTATGTGTCTGCAAAGAGTAAATTATTTCTTTATCGCTGAGCATACGGCTATGTGATTCCTTGGTCGGCTCAATTTTCCTCACGAATATCTTTGAAAGCCAGGCATCTTTATTCGCCGGAGTGGTTCCAACTGACCTGCATTTATACAACAAAATTGGTTAGTCGGCTTGTAAAATCTTAAATAAAATATCTACCTTATGTTACTGGGAATTTTCTGAAGATATTTGAGGGTGGCCATTATTGAAAGCCTTTAGATTATTTTTAAATTGAAAATGACATAAAGGTTATCACTCGGTATGTTGTTGTAATGCGTTCTGTAATGCGTTTTGATGACCGGCTAGGAGCGACTGCCTTAATCCTGCAGTGGCGTGCTAAAGGGAAAAGAAATACGCCAGGACGCCAGAAAAGAGCAAAATCGCACTGGTATTACGTATCTTGAAAAGTGACGTTATTTCGATTTTTTTTTACTTTATACTGGATTTTTTTAACATTATGTAAACGTCATGAGGCTTCAGTTATCAACGTTTGGCTATGATGTGATGTAAAATCTGCGTCAGAGAATGCATTACTATAGGTAACGACATAGTGAGGATTTGCGTGCTAATGCGTATTCATAAAAGAAAAAATTATATCGGTTCGACGAAGCAAATGTACAATGGCTTGCGGACAGATTTTTAGTTGAGAATGAGGAAACTCGAGGAGGAGCACTTTCATGTATTCATAAAATGAAGATATGTCTACGCTATCTCGGTGACCCTGGATATCAACAAGGTATTGGTCAGGAACTTGGTGTTAGTCAAGCAACGGTATCTCGGACTGTGGATAGAGTTGTGAACAGCATAGTTGCACAGTCGAACGAATGGATCAAGTATCCAACTACCAACCATGAACTGATGGAGGCCAAGCGGATTTGGCGAGGCATGTATAAATTTCCGACAGCAATTGGTGTAATTAATTGTACACATATAGGAATCCTGGAACCAAATCGCCATGCAGATGAGTATATCAACCTAAAAGGGAAACCTACTTTAAATGTGCAAGCCACTTGTGATGCCAGAGATATGTTCACAAGTGTTGATGTCAGTTGACCTGGATCAGTGCATGATTCCAGAATATGGAGAAACTCACAGACTAGATCACAACTAATAAATAAAGCAAATGTTGTACTACTTGGCGATGACGGTTATGGTATTGAGTCATGCCTTATGACTCCCTTCAGAAATCCTACTCCAGGTGCAGAAATAAATTATAATAAGCTTTTACAAAAAGAAAGAGTTATAATTAAACGCTGTTTCGGATAATTGAAACACCGGTTTCTATTCTACAGTATGTTTGCCGCGTAAAGTTGGAAAATGTGCCGAAAATAATTATTGCTTGTATTTTACTCCATAATGTTGCGAAGAGCTTGGGCGATCCTGACTTTGAGTTGGTTGAACAAGACCCAGATGGAGATGAAGGAAATCATGAGAATGACGAACTTCCTCTCCGCCAACTAGGTCAACAAATAAGAAGAAACTTGAGTATTGTAATAAATAGTTTTACTGATTAAAGTGTATTTATAAGTTATAATAAGTTTTATTTTCTTGAACATCTTAAGTTACAGGTGGCTTCTGACGTTGCATAATTTCTAATTTCGTTTTATAATAGGTACTCTTTTTGTGAAATGCTTGTTCGGTACTGCTGTAATAGCACTAGACGTTGTAGTTCCTTTGTATTTAACCCTTTGGTTTCCTCAGTTTCGCATTTCTCTATTGCTAATTTTTTTTTGCTGGCAATGTCTTCTGAATTGCTCACTGCGCTCGGTATATAGTTCACTTCCTTCTTCTTGAACACTACCAACCTGAATGGCACCTCTAATTTTCCCAATTGTAGGATTACAGTCACCTTCCACAGCTTTCAGCAACTTTCTTTCCCAATCTAACAATTTAATTGCTTTATTACCAGTTTTTTTTTTGGATCTGTTCTTTTCTTCAATCTTGATTTCATGTTGTTGATTTTTTTATAAGCCTTTAGTATCTAATGGTTTACCGAATGTTGATTCGTATTTTTTCAACATCTTCAAGGCATCGTCCTTTCCCATTTTTATTTTTGGAACTTGTGACTTTTTCAAATAATGGAGCAATGGCAATTTCATCTGCGATGAACTGCAGGTCGTTGCCATTATTTTCTACTGTTTGCACCCTAAACACTAATCAAATTCAAGCGGATAACCAAATGGAAATGGTATTTACCATTTTGGGTTGGTATTTACCAATCCGTTCAAGCGAGTGTAGTTATCAGTTTGGTTATAAGATCCGTGACGTCACGAATCAGCTGTTATATGTCATAGTTATCACCGCAAAATTGTGGTTTTTACCCAACTCAAGAGTAGTTTTATATTTCTGGTTATTATTTGAAATGTGACAAGTTAGAATTTTACCGGGTATTGGATATTGTTATTGTACTTCAGCTTCATTATTGAGAAAAATGATACAGGCTGACTTCAGTTTTACCATAAAGTGGAGCATCTTATTAGTTATACTCATTACAGTTGTTGGGGACACTTTAAATGTAGTTCCTATGCTTAACAAAGTATCCTGTGTAGCCATACACCACAAGGATATTAAAATATGGCCATATAAACTCACTAGATGATATCCACCTGTATACGGTTTTGCTAATTTATTTTTTCATCATTTCTGCTGAATCAATAAATGTTTTCTTTGACATGCGGAAAAATTTAGAGAATTGATAGTTATCATAGCTACAAAGCCATGGTACCATCATTAAAAAAAAAATCTGAAAAAACATTTCTCCCATGAATATTATGAAAGGTTTCTTATTTAAACTTTCCATATACAGTTGTAGACGAAAAAGCACCGATTATTAAGTGATAATAAAAACAATCAGAGATTATATACGCGCTTTTCTAAAATAAACAACTTGCAACAAAACCGCGGTTAAAACCAACGCGTTCAAGCGATTCGTGTAACTGACGTCATCAACCCGTGTGTCATCTTGAACCATATTATAACCGCGGTACATAACACAGAAATTTTGGTTATTCGCTTGGATTTGATTACTACCTAGTCTACAAGATGACGTCTTATAGGTTTTTTGGAGGTTTTATGGCTTGTTTACATTTTTACCCGTACCGGTGCTCACTTTGTCGTTAGGAAAAATTGAAGAGCGGGAGGTACTGGGAATTTTTGAGTTTCCATTTTTTAATTTTTGACATTTAGGGACCACTATCAATCCGGAGACCTGTGCAGCTGGACTAGCGTGCCATGATACGTCTATGATCGAATTTGGGTGGTAACGGGTAACGATATGGTTCGTTTCACACCTTCATTCAAACGCGGTACGGTTTTCTTTTTTGACAGATGTCAACTGACAGACTACCAGTGACATTCTGTAGAGGTTATGTTTATAAAACATTTTTGAGGGCGGTGTAGTAAAAAATTGCATTTACGATTATATCAGTTAATTGATAAACCGTTCTCTCTCTCATGAGAATTTTGGAAATGGGTAAGCATATCCGACCATTAATATTAATTTAGTCCGCTGCGTTTTTCATATTTTCTTTTGAAACAATTGAAATTGATTAGACTAAAGTGATCCTGTTTTCCATGTTGCTGTTATAACTGTGGAAATGTGTATTACGGCATTATACGCATATTAATCTATGCATGGCAATTAATTCCTTTAGCTACCCAAGCTGGTGGTTAGATGAATCACTTTCCAACAATCACCATTGTGTAATTTCCTGTGATTATCTTAAGGAACACATTCCAGATCAAGCCACTGAAGTTGCTAAGTTGCAGCAACACCTGTCATTACTAAAGCAGGAATACTCCAAGCTGCAGACGAAATATCATGATGTTGAATTCAAGTACAATGCCATCTCAGCATCAAATGGAAAAGGCACAGATGATACATTTGCATCTAGACTGTTGAAGACTGTTAGCAGCCTGTATAACTCTGAAACATACAGTGATATTGATATTATCCTGAAAGAAGAAAAGATGAAGGCACATAAGCTAGTATTAGCGCAAGAAGCAATTTATGGAATGAATCTATGCTCAGTAATAGAAAGGGAACTCGATTGGTCAGATATAGAGACTGAAGTTGCTATGGCCATAATCAGTTGGATTTATACCAGCAATCTGGATTTTAACATCATCTGGATTAGCTCTGAAGCTGATTAAAAAGGCTCATGACTTCAAGCTTGAGAATTTAGTAGAGTTATGTGAGCAGTTCCTCATATCTGTTGTGTGGACCATCAGGTAATATGATTAGGTTTATTGGTTCAAAAATGTGATGTTTTAACAGGAAACAGTGTAAATTTAAATAATCAACCTTATACATTTCTTAAAAAAGCAATGCAATTTTTGTAGGTAGGTGGGATCCTAGACCAGAAAACTGTTTTAAAAATCATGCTTTAAACCAATATATGGATTTTTTATTCTTGGATTGTTGGCAAGTTGTCAGCAACTTGTAACTAATGGCTTTACAAATAGGCCTTGGATGTTGCTTTGATTTAGAGCAGCTTTTTAATAGTGAATCTGATGATTTATGCTGATTCTTACATAAATATCTGTTATTCTTTCAGATCATGTGTGAAATTTTATTCAGTAGCAGAAGAAACAGAAGCATCCAATCTGCTGGAGTACTGCTCAGGTCTTATATCAGTCCATTGGGATGACCTGAATTCATCAGACTTTGAACATATGAATGGTCCCCTCTTATACAAAATGTTGAA